GTCCAATGAGCCCAAACCCCTTCAAACGAGCTATTACATTCTCTTCCTCGTCCTCCCTCAGAATCTCCGTCTTCACGATTTTGCTCAAGTTCGGGTACTCCTTAGCGAGATATGACTCGCCTTGGACACGAACGTACCCTGGGATGAACTCATGTAAGCCGCCAGTATAAGACCAGACTACGCACCTTGATTGGGGTGGTCGCCGTACTCGGAATTGATACGCTCTACCACATCCATGCCTTCAACAACCTTCGCCACTGGCGAGAACCCCATCCCATCTAGGAAGCCGTTGTCATTCAGCTGAATGAACAAGCCACTCAATAACACAACGTGAAAATTCGCAGGGATTCCTACGTTGATAAATAACTGCGTGGTTCGTGAGTTCTTCATGGCAGTCGCAGCGAACGATATAGTGCCCTTGTCATTGTGCCCAATAACCTTGTCATCTGGGATGGCTCCAAACTTGTCCACATCGGCGGGGTCAGCCGGCAGTCCCCACTGTGCAACACTGAGAGGGTAAACAGCGGGTCGATGCTCGGCAAGCTGAGCAATGCTGATTGGGGCTTACAATTCCTGGATAACTCTGAAGAAACGAGCTCCATCGAAGTAGTGATCAGAAAGCAACTCCTTGAAGCGTTTGTACCTGTCGTGAAGGCAATGACGAGCGATGAGTAACCACACTAGACTAAACTACTACCCGTGAGGGGCCCAGTCTTCGTAAGCTTCGACGATGAATCCTTCCGGTTCTGATGAATCATGATTCTGTACAAGAATTCGGGCTTGAAGACGCTTGCCGGCTTCTGCCTGCATCGCACAAAAAGCGAGCAACAGAGTCACAGCGCGAACGAAAAACATTGGATAAAGCAATCTGCGCAGATAGTACTCTACCGAAGAAAACGTGAGCTGATACTAACTAGGCACGCTCAAGCTATGGGATAGGAAAATCCTCGCACTACGGTGTAATCTTCAACCACACTGCGCAACTCGGAAGTTCGGCGCCACACAGTCACAGTGTCACAGTGATGAGGAGGAAATGCTGATAAGGTGTGATGATTCAATACTATCAGCAACTGGGAGGAACACAAGGACGTAGGAGGATCACAAGGAGCAACACAACATGTGTAAAGCGCTGTACCCTGAGTAAATCCATTCTCGCAGATTTGCCGTTTTTCGCGGCAGCCGCCGAATTTGACTAAGAACGCAAGATGTAGCGAGGCTAGAGATCTAAATGAGGTCATATAGTCCTGAGAACACCCTACCTACTCAAGTCGATACGTACTCGATGCTTTTGGTAGTTCATTTTTTCATACTTGACACGACTTGCAACCCTACTGCAGAGATTTCAGGTAGGTTGAAGTGAAGGTAGCTCGTAGTCTGCCGCACACACTACAGGCTTCCTTTACAATAATATTGTTCCTCGCGGACTATGCGGTATCGTGTTTAACCCATGATATCTTCCTATTCGTTCGATTCTTCAATTGCTTCCAAAAATGTCACAATGCGGATCATCGCTATCCGTAACGGATTAGATCATGTTAAACATGATATAAGCCGTATAGGCGTACATGTTGAACATAACATGTTTCATTAATTATGAATCTCACATGACATTGCTCTGCGAGTCGCAGTTTCACATGGTCCTCGAGGTGCTTCCAAACGTATCGCGCAGCGCCTACAAACCTAAGAAGCTCAACTCCAAGCCTTTGAGTTCATTCCACCAGTACATACCCTCTAGTAGAGGGCCTCTACCAACCAAACTTTGTTCAGCAAGCTACTAGCGGTGCCCCGCTCCACTAGTTCTACTTTAACATAATGGATGCTTCACCTGTAGTTCAAATCTGCACCGCTGCTTCCCTGTCGCTCGCTGTGGTGTGAATTTTACAAACACGAGCCGAACTCGCGCTTTACAAGTCGCGATGTCTTCGATTGAACATTTAATAAATGTTAATAAATAGCAAGCATAACATGCTTGCTAATGATGGGAGTGACGGCATGACCGAGACCAACTACCATGGTGGCGTTACGATTCCCGTCAAGCCTTATGTATTTAAGCCACATCGAGTTGCGAATGCTGCAGCAGATGTACGAAGGGCATGAAGAAGAACGTTGGACGCCAGAGGACTACACTCTTGGGGAACTCGAGGAGTTTTCTCGCGAGTAGTGGGATGACTCGTACGCCCCTGATTGTCATGGGAATTCCATGTACGAGATAAGATTCAACTATGATCGTTGATGTATTACGATGGCGTTTGTTAAGTAAATCAAGTACTACTTGGCTACTACAGGCTACTTGACAAGTAGCCGGCTTCCCCTCGTCTTGCTTGTTGGTGCTTCGTTATATCTCAACTCTGATATCACTCAACGCGATTTGCGTTGACAGAAATCCACCGACCAGTGAATCACTGAGACTCGTCATATCACGGATTCAATTTGTGATATGATGAATCGTAGGTAGAGCACTAGGGGATGCGCCAGAGGGAAGGAAGGAACTGTCGTGTAACCTCGGGGTGATACCTACTCCTTGTTGTTGATTTTTAGGTTGATCATTTCTGCATCGTCTCTGCACAAGTTGTGATGGTTGCGAAGTGGATATATTGGTCAAACTTCGAACTTCAGGATCTCGCTAGTGACTGTGTCAATAATTGACAGTCAATTGGATTGTCTTTACTCATCATGGGGCTACGGGATACGGTGGGTATCTATTGATCTTGTCCAGGTCATCTGGAGTGGTAACAGAATGTTAGCATCAGTGCAGCATGGCTTTTGCTCGAACTAACTGTTTCGAGAACTTCTGTTTTGTCATGTTGTGTGTCTGTGTGAATCAACGACTTCTTTGTACCCATCGAAATCGTCGTGGGTGTATTACACACAAAAACGGCTCACGGGTCGTGATGAACCTTTGCAGTGTCTTCAATGACCCGGACGGTGCAGCGCAACAAGAAAATCAATCGCGATGGGACTAAGACAGCAGAATGTATCGAGTCTAGCATGAACACATTGGTTCCCGAGCAATCCGGAGATCTGCAACCCCTCCTATTCTGTCTCCTAGACTGCCTCCAAGATATAGATCCGACTAAAGGAGCAGACGTTGAAGTCGTGACAGCGATTTACGCAGCAATTGGCGATATGTGCCGAAAACGGGACGGACAACGTGTCCTGAACGCTTGCTTCTGCTATGTGGATCGCAGTCAATGCCGAGTCAGTGGTCCGGCGCACAAGAGCAGGGTATTCGTTGTAGTCTCTGAGGTGGTGTTGCCGGCACTAGAAGCCGAACCAGATAAGCTCATGAAGGAGAGCATTGTTGATCTAGTGGGGACTATCATCAACGAGATCTCCAACAATTCAGAGGAGGCACTACTACGCTCCTGTGCCTCGGTGCTGTCGCGGCTAGCTCGTATTGATCTCGATTGCGTCCTAGTTGAGATCTTCAGCCGAGCCGATACTGTAGCAATGTGTGTACCGTCAAGCTCACTAGCAACGCTAGTCCACTTAGAGTGGGGTATAACATATGTACCACCTGTGCGTGCGTGCAATACCGAACAGCTATGGATAATCGATCAGTACTGCGCAAGATACTGTGCGCACACGACTACGCACAACAAAGGGTACTTAAGAATCACAAACTGTGGCAAACCACTCTATCAGAGCATTCGCCCTCCTGCCACAGAATGAAGAACTATAAAATTAAGCGAATAACTAGGACAAACCAGCTATCACGTACTCACTGCGGACTATCACGAGTCATGCGGCGCATGGCTCGCCTCAGGTCCTGCACATCAACTTCACCAGGCTTGCAGTGAGTCAGTCTCGAAACATGGACAACTTTGACTTCTTTATCACAAATAATCTTAGCCTTTCGAAATAGGCCGTAATCATCGTTAGGAGAAGTCGTCACCAAACCACGCGAGCTGCTGATGAATCCCAGGACTCTCCATCGCTTCTCGCTGAATGGCATATCCATAGTCTTAGTAATAATCTTATCATACTTATTCACTTGACGCATCCTCACTATGGCGCCAGGGAATAATTCATGATATGTACACGACTCGAGCTTTCTCTCAGCATCAGCGACGCACTTGGCAATCAATCGCTGCCATTCAACGTCGGTAGACTCGAGTTTCATCATCTCAGCAGGAATACGCTGGGTAACACTGTGGACCGTGTTATTGTAAGCTCTCATGACCTTGGCAACCGCCGACGCGATATCGAGCTCATTGTCATCCGCCATGACCGACCTTGTCCACATACGCACCGTGCGGTGCAGAGACTCCACCATACCGTTCGACTGACTTGACCTAGGCGCCGTAAAGACACGGGACACTCCAGGTAAGTCACAACTCAGAAAACCGGTCTGGTTGTCGGTCAGTAGAATCTTCGGTCTTTTGCCAAGAATCCGCCAGGATGCCTCAAACGCATCACGAATATGATCAGCGTCCTCGCCCTCCAGCTCGATGAGACAGGCAAACCGACAGACAGCGCATTGTTGACTCAGGTACGCCTTGGGCAAGTAAACAATATCAGCACTCACAACCGAGAATGGCTCAGCTTCAGAGAGGACAGATGAGCTGAATAGACTTATATCATGTTTGATGATGAGTGGCTGAGTACGCCTGTTGCAGATATCACATTTCTGCAACCACGCGGCGGTTTGGTCAATGATACCAGGAAACCACGCTATACTAGTAATAGCCTCAAAGGTTCGCCGCTGGCCCACATGGCACAACAATCCATGTACTGAATGAATGAGCTCTACTCTCATACCCTCGGGAATAACAGGAACACATACTTCCTTACCCTGGTATGGAGCAATGTACCGCCGCCGTAGGATGTCATACTCATCGATCTCGAGTTCTCGGTAGACTTGTTGTAAGTCTAGCTCAACATCTTCAGGTAACAACCGACCATGTTTCAAGGCCCGCCTGGCCTTGAACAGCTCATCATCATCATATTGCCCTTCAACGACTTCACCTAGGTTCAAGAACATCTCATCGTTCAACAAAGGCTCATTGATGGCAGCACCAGCGCACAATGACAGGTCGGCCTCAATATCCATGCTATTATTATCATAGCAAATAGAGTCGATAAGAGAGGTATATTTACTGTCTAATCTACTTAGGATATCACTAGGATTTTGATCAGATGCAACACGGCATACAGTGAAGGACTTGAACGGCTCAGTGATATCAACAATGGCTTGAAGACGACGGCCTACAATGGTAGTCGATAAGCCTCCACGTTTCACCGTTTGGCCACTTTGATAACGCTCTATCCAACTCCTAACGCATTCATTATCAACATGTAGATAAACCGCTCCCGCGATAAACGGGGCTGCCCAAGCTAATGCTCGGGTTGCGGCACACAGTTCAGTCACATTAATGTGCCGCAGAACACCACGCCGATCTAGTAGCCAAGCAGCATCACGGACAAGCACGATCTTTCCATCGTCACGCTCGTAGGAAAGAGTAGCTCCCATAGCCACTGAACTCGCATCAGCATGAATATGCCATGCCTTGGCATCACTTGGGCGGGGACAGTACCATATGCCGCGAGCTGGATCCCCTTCAGAGTTGAACTTCTGTTGAATATAGTGAGCAAGATCCAGGTAAACCGCATCCACCGGTTTATCCCAAGCTAAAGCACTGATCACTCGTAATAGCATACTTACATGAGGTCGTAACCAGCTTGCTACTGGGACCAAGGCAGTCAACTTACCACACCAACCAGCCAGTTCTCTTTTGGTAACCACCTCATCTCCATCAAGATTGATCTCTAGAGACAGATCCTCTCTACGAGCCCATGATATCTCACCACCATCGTTATGGAGACTCAGCCCAAGCACACGACTGTTATTAGCCCCAATGATAATCGTGGGCTTGCAATACATACGCCCATTACCCAATGCGTCTCGAACAGCCGTCACACATGGTGGATCTTCGAGAAGCTGTCCATTTTGATTCACAGCGATAACCACATTAGGGTCAGACTCCTCGATGACCACATCGTCGAGGTATGATGAAATTGGGTAGGGGACTTTCATCAGCAACCATCTGATGGCCGACGTGGCTACCTTCGGCGCAATACATACTCCGAATCCCATAACCACCATGGTGAAGATCTCACCGTTAATCATGACACACAGATATGGCCACAGACTCTCACACATGCGTATACAATAATAGCATTTAATGACATCGAGAGTATAACCACGCCGAACCGAACGCCACTGATGTAAGGTATCAACACAGTTTACGATGTCCCGTACTGGCTCACTCACCAGGTGCTTATTGAGAGCTCTAAAATCTAAGCACATACGGAGTGGAGTAGAAGGCTTATGGGGTTGAGCCACTAGTACCCATGGGAGAATATTACGAACCCTGCCAGCATAAGGTTTCACCCAGCCGTTAGTTATTAACTTATCAGTCTCAGCACGCAAGTTAAGCTCCTCTTGTGCGGTGAGTTTCGGGTTGTAGTCACCTCTGTTAGCCTTGTAGAACGTACCAGGAGGGTCACCTCCACGCCATATCCATCGGCAAGTAAACTGTGGTTCATCGGAACGTTTAGAGAGTACAAAGTCGATGCTGATAATCTCAACGGTGCCATTTGGGTATTCTAGCACGCGTACTCCTGGAATGTCTGGCAAGTTGTACGCCTGTACATCTTCGTCGATGCCACGAGCAGCGGCAGCAGTGACCGCTATGCGGCCACCTTCATCCCAGGTCATACCCTGGCAGTAGAGAGACGCAAAATCAGCTCCCAGTACTAGAGACCCAAATACCATTTTATCAACAACATAACAAGTATGAACCACCTTAACCCATCCATCTTTAGCTAGATACATAACCGGAAGATCCACCTGACCTGTTGTCGTTAGGACACCAACCGCATCCATCATTTTGAGCCGTACAGGGGAAACCTCGTGATGAACTGTAAGACCCAAAGATGAAACAAACTTGGATGATACTAATGAATAGTCAGCCCCTGTGTCAACATCAACGGCATGTTCATGACCGTTGAACTTACAGAGTAAGTGTGGGCGTTTTACATATGCAGAACAACCCCGCCCATCGGCTGCTCTGCCTGCACAAAATCCTTCTCAATAGCAGCACCGGCCTTGCTCTGTTTGTTTTTGCAATCCCTTGCAATGTGACCATACTTTTGACAAGCATAGCATCGGGGTCCTTTGCCCTTTCCCTTGCCTTTGGGCTTCGAGGTAGGACGTGTCGCTCCGCGCTCTCGACACTCTGCAGCAATATGGCCGGTTGCCTTACAGATATAACAGTATTGACCACCAGTGACAGCACCCGCAGCAAGCTTCTTCTCACCAGAGTAAGTCTTCAGCTGAGCTCGAGCCTTAGCAACAACATCAGCCAAAGGCAACTGGCGCCCATCCTCCTCGAACACCCGGATGGCCTTCTGCACGTCTTCGGGCAGGGTGGCAATCAGGCTTTCACGAAGGATGTTCTCAGCAGCCACTGTGGTAGTAACCCCTAGCACTCTAAGGTAGCGGCGGAATTCAGCTAATACACCATCAACACTATCTTCCTTGTGCCACTCACGGCGAGTCAGACGCTTCCACGCCTCGTGAGTTTTGAGCGAGTACGCTCTATCCAGGGCCCTAACCACATGAGCATAGGCACCAGCTGGATCGCCCTCAACTTCCTCCAGGGCTTGCCTAGCGATCTCTTTGGCCGAGCCCTTCATAAAAAGTACGATATATTGTGACTTTTGCTTAATAGTCCACTTAGAAGCCTCGGCCACCGTCTCGAACTCCTGCAGCCAAAGAGCGAAGTCGTTTTCACCACCAGAATAGGGTTCCAATACAGATTCGAGCTTGAACGGCATGTTGGTCCTGGGTCTGGGCACCAGATGTAGCAATGTGTGTACCGTCAAGCTCACTAGCAACGCTAGTCCACTTAGAGTGGGGTATAACATATGTACCACCTGTGCGTGCGTGCAATACCGAACAGCTATGGATAATCGATCAGTACTGCGCAAGATACTGTGCGCACACGACTACGCACAACAAAGGGTACTTAAGAATCACAAACTGTGGCAAACCACTCTATCAGAGCAGATACGGTCAGTGGTACCAAGGCCAACGTCTATGTCGAAACGTTGGTGGAAATGTGTGACAATTGTGCTACTGAGGCAGACCAGACGTTCAAACATCTTCACGCTACTGAGATCATGCGTATAACAGATGAACTAGGTAGGCTGAACCCGAGGTGTCCTCCGTTTCCAACACGCATCGTGAAATCACAGCCATATACACTCACGCGTCCTTCTCTCAGACTCATCGACTCGCCACGTGCCAACACTAATAGCGAGCGTATGCAAGAGAGTGGTGACACCCTCAGATGCGGAATTCGCTAAAAAAGTTAGTGATTGCCAATGGCTGCATGTAAGACGCGAACCGACCCTTTGGTCGTCACCTCAGTTCTTAAATGGAAGGCGTCGCCCAATCGAAGCTTCTTTGCCCCTCGAACTTGCTCGGGATATCGAAAATTCTTTACGTGTCGGAATATGAGCATTTACCTCAGGGATGATTTACCATATCATTACCCCTCAGGAGGACCCCGTAGCCTTCAAAGTTGTTAAAGCAGCATTTGACAGGCTTATGGGACGAATCACTCATGACGTCGAGTCTGGCACGCTTAGCAACGCGCTGAAAGTCGACGCCATAGAAACCTCGAGCAAGTTAGAAGCAGCTAGCAGACTACTGCTGCTTCTGTTAGACCGCTCGCCAACTGCCGTGGTGGGCAGCGTCATAGTTATACAAAGGGCGTGCCTGACTTGGTTGGCCTCCCTGTTGAAAATAACACCTCCGAAAGGGATCCTCACCAACGCCCAGATCGCCCCAGTGCTGTCTGGCATTCGGGTATTGGCAGCTAGCGGGAAGGTGCTGGCTGAGCGGGAAAGCCTCTTAGAACTCCAAGATCTACTGGTGGCTTTGATACAAAACAACCGACCTCTGACAGTGCTCTCTGGCGCCACGATAGCGCCTGGCGCAGATTCTCCAGCGGTGGTGCGAGAAATGCTCAACACATGGGTGGCCTTAGGTGGTGAGCAATGCATGTCGTATCTGTTGGATAAAAAAGGATTAGCGGAACCGTCACGGCCACATTCAACCATCGATAGATGCGTCGCTTTACTGTGTTTACGGGCTTGTGCCGAATCCGGCCTTGCCACATCGCTGTTGAACCCGGCGCTAGACCTGCTGTGCCGTGAGACAACTCCGCCTGTATCTCCCTATTGCACCACGATGCCGGTCGAAGCCCTATGCTTGATCGAGGTCTTATCGGTCATGGGTGTCAGAATGGCACCCCTCCCAGGCCTCTACGATTACCTCTTGTCTTTGCTGTGCCTTACCGACGCCGATTGCGAGAAGGAGGTTACCTTGACTGCTGGCCAGCGCTTCATGAAGCGCTTCTCTCCAGCAGGAGCTACCGCTCCGCACGACTGGCCGCGACGAGATCGAGATGGCATGGCTGTTAACTGGCGGAGAGTACGCAAAAGAGCCCTCGAAGTGCTCCTGCAGCAAGCAGCTTCGAGCGACTCCGATCAGCGGTGCTTCCACGCAGCGGCTGTGCTATACGATAGACTAATGACTTGTCTACTCTCGGGTTCATGCCATCGAGCCCATCAGCTGGATAAAGTGTGTCTGGTCATGATTCGACTAGTTACTTCATGCTCTCGGGATCTGGTGACCCCATTGGGAGTGGAGAAAGGTTGCCACCTCTTAGCGTGGCTGCTCTCTTCTCTGGCGGATGAAGGCAGGCAACGACTGCTCTCCAGCAGCTGCGAATCTTCCGTTTGGTCATTCAGGTTTATGTGAAGTTGATGAGCTGGACCGAAGTGTGCCGCAAGATACCTCGGCGCGTCGCAATATCGTTAGTGCCCTTCGTTTTCTTGCTGGCTCCATTCACGCCGATCTCAAGATGATGTGGGAATCTCCTTTCTCGAGACTCAAGGAGTTAGAAGACGGTGAGAGCCAGTGCCCTCGTCACATATATCAACCTTCCGCAACGCATCTCTGTCAGGCTCCCGATCGTCGGCTGATGAATTGCAACTTTTCCTCAGTCGTATTGCGGCTAATTCTAAGCCAGATGATGAAGCCGTGTACGCTGAGGTAGAGCAATGCTCTAATAGCATCTCAATCTCCAGCAAGCTGCTCCTGCCCTGCTCTTATTCAGGCAATCTGCGCTTATATAGCTGAAAGCCTTCTGCCGCACCTCGCAAGTCTGGCTACGGTGCCAACTCCTGTCGAGCAAGATGAGCCAACACCGCCGGGTCCTTCCGACGATGATCCTGGTAAGACTACTTGAACACTCACCGTTCCGCTCGCTCGGGTATGTTTACTTCAGCCCTGAGTCTTGATGCGACCGAGGACAAGCTTGGGTTCCCGTCTTCTACTAGTAGCTCCGTTGACAAAGCAGCGGTAGCGGAGGGCGATCGCGAATCACTCCGACCCTTGCATGCTCTAGGCGTTAGACGCTACCACTGGGACGGTCTTCGTCCTTCTTGGTGTCGCCGCATCGCATGTCCCGAGTATTGTCAAGATGGCCGAGTACGTGGACAAGTGGCTACTGCTGACCACGACAAGCTCTAGTAGTTCCCATGAGGTGCGCCAAACATTAACATCTTTAGACCAGTCGTGACTGCAGGTGAAGGCCGCATCAGCCGTGTTGTTGGCACGTCCACAGGGAAGGCGTGGGCTGGCCAAAGCACTTGGCCGTCTAGCGGGTGTCCACTTCGACCATGTTACAGGTCTCGCGGCACGGTTGGATCAACTGAGTTGATGACACGCTATTCGTCAGATCTAATGAGGCGTGCAGGGACCAGCCAGGCTGCCACTCGCCGTCCTAGTGCATTCTCACTCTTTGACAATACCGAGATGCTTCAGCAAGGGGAATGGATACGAGCTACAGTGAACGCGGCGCTAGGTTACTGCGCAATGCTAGCACCGTCTCCAAGAGTGCTCCAACGCCGTCTACGAGCCTTCTTCCTGGAACCTCTTCTCACCACACTGAAAGAGGAGAGGAAAGCCGCCCCGCTTGCGGCTGCCATACGAGGAATCAAGTTGACGGCTGATGGGCTTATGCGCTCGGATGTCGAGGGAGATCCACAGCTCGAGATCGACCCGTCCCTAGCCCTCTTACGGGATGAGCTAGTTGTGGCTCTCCTACCTTTCCTCCTCCAGCCCGTTATGTCTAACTCTGCTGTTTCCTCTGCCGCTTGGAAACTAGAAACTTCATCGAGGCCTCATCGTGGAGAAGGCCACTCGATGGGAATGCTGCTCTGTGATGTGCTACAGTGTATAGGCTCCCTTATAGCCCTGCCTCTGGATTTACAGCCGAGGATATTCGCCCAAGTAGCCGGCGCCAGATCGCGGAAGTGCTTGACCTAGTCGCGACAGATTCTCGAGACCGCCCTTCAAGTGCTGGTGATGTCCCTCCCAGAATCCGCGGTGCCACCACCCTCAGCCGTGGCTGCTCTTGGCACTAGCAACCTGGAAGAGATCGGCCAGCTATTTGCCGATGAGTGGACCTCGGGGAATTCAGGCCCTGAGCCTGAGGTGTCCTCCTACTCCCAAAAGATGTTTCCCGTTGGTCCTTCGTAGGCCCGCATCGTTGAGTGCTGTGAGGTCGTCGTTGCAGCCCTGCTCTCCCACGCTCGGACTTGGCTAGGCGTTAGCCGCCTCATGCAGGCAGTTCACTCAGCTGGAGGGTCTGGACCAGTAGAAGCTCTCAGATGGGCGTGCGCCAGGCTCAGCCTTGTACTGTGCGAGAACGCACCAGTGCTACTTCCAGGCAGACGTCGCGAGGTCAGATTGCGACGTGGAACATCCGGGCTCGTAAAATGATTTCTGCTCTCCTCTCAGCTAGGCGAGTGGTGCGAATGCATTGGTCTTGTACTGCCACACGTTGGGGACAGCAGTCGGGCCGTCCGACGCGCGTCACGAGAAGCCATGAGACTCCTCCTAGAGCGTAACGAGCAGAGTCATGATCGAGTCGACGAGTTGATGCCATCCGAGCCTAGGAAAGTAGAGACTGGCACTCATGGTCGGCGCCGACCTTGTATGTTACATCAAGTATTCTAACGCCCCCAACCGGAGTACTCTCGAACAGTCTCATTTCAGCTGCTTGCTATCGGCCTTGCTGACGTCCTACCTGGCGAAGCTGTACCGGCTCTCCTACAGCACCTCATGAAAGGTCAGCCGGAATTCCAATCGCTGCCTGAAACTGCGGAGGAGTTCAGGTGTTCACAACGCCGATCTTCGAGCTGCAGTGAGCACTATTGATGCGCTGCATTTGATACTAATTCATCGGGCGTCAAGCTTTGACAAGGATACGGCAGCCAAGATGATCAGCACCGTGTTCGACAACGCTGAAAAGCTCCCCTCTGGATCGGTGCTTCAGCAGAAGGTCCTTGCATGCACCCAAGTGAGACCCTTTCTATACTTGATCGAGTCGGACCCCTGATTGTAGGTGCTGGCGAGCACCCAGTTCGACTCTGCTATATCAGAGCTCCTCGAAGTCGGGGAACGCGAGTTCTCTCAGTCGCAGCTTCATGCGATAAGGGTCATGGTGAAGGAGAAGTCATTACTCCTCAGAATGCTCAACTCTCTCACGGACATACTCAACAACTCGTTCCCAAGTACTTATCTTTCACCTGTCTTCTTAGTGATCGGTTTGCTCCCGTGCAGGCTGTGACGGGCAACCTAATCGAATGGTCACCGCGGCCACGGAGGCGCTGTACGTGATTTTTGAGGTGGAAGACTCGGTGGTCACAGGAGCCCTCAAGCGACACGTTCCGGAAATTCTGATTACTTTACTGCTCCGAATCGCCTCAGCTCCAAGTTAAAGAACATCTTGATATTCGAAGGAAATTGTGCTTCCGTTAGCGATATACCTACGCAAGCGAGCTATCGAGGCCACTATGAAGATGCTCGAGGCTGTGGGCAAGGATTCGATGGCCTTAGCACTGCATCAACAGGTGGAATCTTATCCCATACCCATCGTTAGGCATGTTTCTGAGTTCTACTTGACAATTCTTACAATTTTATGAATGTTACAATCGAATTGCATGAGGATTCTCGGGGAATACAAGTGGATTGTATCCCTCGAGCTTCCTGGTTTCTGGGTTTAGCACATTCCGTTTTGCAGGCGGCAGCATCCGTCAATGCGAGGGTCTTCCCTCCGAACTCAGACAATGAACTTAATGTGGAAGAAGTACACCCAGACGGCGAGGTCAACGACATTATCGGTATTGCCAACTCATAAGCACAATTCAATACTCAGGCTTCACCCCCCAGATTCAATGATTTTCCTTTTCTGTCAATCCACTCCCGATGGAGAGGCACAAGCAACTCGGCAGAAGCTTGTCGAGTTTGCGCTGCCGTTCGTAACACGCTCTATACCTGGTCATAGAGTCACGGCGGTCGCTGTGCTGGCCCAGGTAAGCTCAGGGCAATACAGTTCCCGATTCTACTGCTCGTCTCCTCTCCATCGCGAATATCGTGCAGGTTCTCTATTGGCCGAGTGTGCTCTAGGTTTCATCTGGTCCCGAGGAAGAGCAGACCCCCATCGAGCACGTGTTAGGCCCAGTAGACCGTCTGACCCCCGGAACTAGCGAGCAAGCTTGCTGGGAGCTAGCACACACCGACCTGGGTATCAGGCGAGTGATAGTCTCCTCTGTACTGAGCTCTCTATAGGTGACTCGGCATCCCCTGCACGACGACACTCTCTTCACCCTTGCGTGTCGAGTGAGCTTGTCTCCAGGTGCACTGCGTGTTTCCTCTCCGTTGTCGGGGACTCAGAGCAGCCCAGTGTTCGAAAGCATGCCACCAGAGGCCTCGCCAACGTGCTGCTGCTAGCAGCCGATAAGGAGAGCGAGCTCGCGCAGTTGATGAAAGACCGGGCGGTTGAAGTCCGATGGCCGTACGAGCTTTCCAAGCGTATCGTCCTCCCCTCAGATTCTGGATCGATTCACCCTTTCTCTAAAGGAGGCCGACACGGACCTCGTCCAAGAGGCGGTCAATGCCAGCCATCGAGCGGCCGTCCTCCGTCCCATCGGCTGCGATCCGGAGGTCTGGGAGTCTCGATTGCTAACTGAATTGGGACCGGTTCTGCACCCGTTGACTGCGTCTTCATCACCAGCTGTGAAAAAGTCTGTGTTCTACCTCCTGAGCAAGCTGAGCCAAATCTATGCAACTCATCTTCGTTCTACCTCTGCCTCCGGTAGCAGCTTCTCTCAAGTCGAAGCGCGAGTCGCCGTTGTCTGTGCGATTCGACTGTGGGATAACTCAGTGGCCGTCAGCGACTCCGCCAAGAGGTGTCTGGCTATGCTTCTGAGGGATCCTGAGTCCCATGATTCGCTGCTTACCGAATCGGCCAAGTCCGCTGCCGCTCTGCGCGACCTTGTCCACGTTCTTGTCAATGCTCGGGATAGGCGCCTCCTCACTCAAGGCTGTGATTTGGAGTACCACGTCGAGACTTGCTGCGGGTTCATCAACGGCATCACAGATGGTGGCATCGAAATTGCGGCGGCAACGATTGCAGTGAATCTTCTGGCTGACCTGAGCACAGTCGCAATTAGCCGAGATACGCTGACTGACCTCCGTAATAGAATCATGCGCATCACAGTTGCTCTAAGCCCGTGGTCTCGTCATAAACCGCACATGGCCAGCCTGATCGGCCAGCTCGCTACTCTTGGAACGTCAGGCGTGTGAGAGCATGCTATTGATGCTGTTACTTTCTAGCATCAACAGCGGTTTGCGTTGGATTACTGAATACGCCGTCTTCGGTAAAGTGAAAGCCAACAAGCTTTTCAGATGCCCATGATATGCACACGTCGGCTGGACGTGGCCTGCGTAGCCATTTTGGCCTTCCTCTGTACTGCTGTGGCCGTGATATCTCTGCGATGGCAACTGCGTGGTCCACCCCAGCTGATCCGATCTGTCTGGCAGAGTGCCACTCAGTACGCTGGATCAACCGACAGTGCGACACTTGGCAACGATCATATGCCTGATGCTAGTGCGGTCTCTGTTAGATTCGTCTACTCCCAGTACTTCTTCCATTGTCAAGGGCTTCCTGAGAGTCCCAGCTCGCCTCGAGGAGATTATGTGTGCGCCTGCCTCGGGCCAGTCATCAGCCTGGGAGAACTACACGGTTTTCTATGATTTCCCCAAGCCTCATCAACGGACCTCCGATCTCGAGATGTTATGGCTGTACCAAGTAGCCCACACGACAGCAAAGATTCTTGAGCGTTTTGGGTACGTGTATGTCGCCTGTGGTGGGACCCTGATCGGCGCGCTAAGAGATGGAGGCATCGTAGCGCATGACGACGATATCGACTTGTGCACGGACAAGCGGAACTTCAGGCGGATGATGAAGGACTCTGCCGTGCTGAAGGCATTCAATGCCAACGGCTTGCAGCTGCTGCAGTTCAGCAGGTCTTTCCAGCCAACTTGGTCTTTGCGATTCGCATCGTTCGGAGACTCGGGGTCTGGAGTAGCTTCATCAATGCTGGGGAGTCTCTGGACAGATACAAGGGCGGCGTTGGTTGTTTGCACTGCCGAGCCGACCGTGAGCGATGCCGACCGCTCGACATCCTCGAGATGGTCAAGCATCCGCAGGATCCCTCTAGGTTCATCATGCACTTCTGCTACAATGAAGTGAGGAAGAAAGGCGATGCTGTGGTAGACCCATCGGCCCGGCGTCTCATAAAGACGACGACCGTTTCGTTCTGTGGTTAGGACCGGGCGGATTGTCGCGGCAGGACATTTCCCGTTGATGTCCTTGACCACGCCATCCATGTGCCTTTCGGTTCCAGCTCGGTATTGGCGCCAGTGGTCGGAGTCGCTGAGAAGCACTTGACTGGTACTCTATGACTCGGCTCGTGAGAACGGAGGAGTGATGAGCTTAGGTGTTTACTCTGACTGGCGCGTGCCCACAGGCTGTGGGCATCATATTCGGAAAGACCAGCCCTGTGAAGCCCTCACAGGTCGAGGGCAGCCCTTCGGCCCCGTGAAGGATCCACTCTAACTCTGTGGTGGTGGCATGTTGTGGAAACTGCCAGTAAGAAAAGGATCAGGGCCGGCTAGTAACTGCAGCTGGAGCGATCATGCAACCAGTGTGGTCATCGTCTCCTCTCCATCACAGACTGGCCTTGTGTTGCCATTTCACTTTCGTCGTTTTGACGAGGCAGTCTTGCTTGAGCTACCGCCACTCGTTGTTGCACATACTTATCAGTCGTTTCCTCGGTCCTGATCAGGTGGATGCTCTCCAGTCTGCTTGTATGTCATCCCGTATGCTTCCGCCCACCTCCCCAGCACCGGGTCGTGGTCGTGGTTGCCGTAGATTTAGTAGATTGATGAGTAGTGCTAGTACAATGGACAGCCGAGGATCCTTGACACTGGATGGTCACTACAGTAGGGCCCCAGAGTCAAGTACACTACGCAGCCACGATGAGCTTCGACATTCAATGAAGAGGAGCACTGAGTGGTCGACCAGGAGCAGGCGACCTAGCAAAACCGCATACGACGTGAGCACCATTCAGCCAACCTGATGACAAGCGCCCATATAGGGACTCGCTCGCGCATTAGCACGACTCGATGGGGGGCCGGATCCAAGCGACTGGGGCATCAGCTTGAGGAGCACCACGGCGGGAGTAGTGTCCAAGATGATCAAAAACAACGGAGGTAGGTCTGAGTGCTCTTCCGGATGGTTACTGTATGAATATGAATAGGATGGGAGACTCTTGAGAGCAGAGTTAACATGTCTCTTCCCGACCGGCAAGCTGTTCTTATGTGGATGCTTGAAACTATGGATGCCCTCGACGTAGTGAGGCTTCCTGCTGTGGAATATCCCCCAGTGGTGTCTCGAGCAGCTCGACGATGCTGTCGTGTTCGCAGCGATAGCCATTGCGGATCGGTATGGGTCTCAACTCTCTCGGAAGAGCCGATACTATCACTCCCCCACTTCTCCCCCTTTCCTCAGTGGGGCGGACCTCCAACAGGTTGGCTCTACTCTGAGTGAAAAATATGAGTCGCACTATGAACTCAGGCGATAATAGCGTCCCTGTGTATAGCACTGAAAACAGCGGATACCTTTGAAGGAAAAGACACTCTCGAGAAAGGTTGGTATCTCATTGATGCTCCCGTTCCATCTATCTGCTTCAGGCGTCACTGTTGGGGATTTCCTCGCGCATCTCTCTGGCTACGTGTTGCCTCCTAAGCAGATCTTCACGGTAGAGGCGGCCATCCTCAATGAGCTCAACTTCGATGTCTATAGCCAGACGGCAGAGGTACAGGCTACTGTATTCTGAGACATCACACTATCTCGACTCAGAATATCATCAGAAGTGCCTTCTCCGCTCACTGCCCGGTGCTCGACGCCGGACCCCTCCCTCGGGAGTACTGGTTAGCGCAGTACTTGATGGAGATCCTCGCCGTCTCTAAGCCGCTCTCTGTGCTGAATACACAGGCCAGTCTGGTGGCGGTCTGCATTGCTTGCGAGGTTCTTGGTGCTTCCAGCCCCGTGGCGGCTCCCGATGGTTTCGATCGTCTCCGAAGGGAAATACTCCGACTCTGGCAGTCTCGAATGAGGATTTTAGGGCATGCCTTAGCTGAGGCGATTGATAGGAAGTATGCATCACTGAAGCGCCGATGCGTCAGCTTGATATCTCTGCAATATTACTTCGAAGAGGCTACCCAGTACTCTTCATAAGACCACGCTCAGTCATTCACCGAAGATTGGTTACTGACACCCCTATTATCCTCAAGCACAGTTCCCGATGCTGATGCTACCACTGGTCCGCAATTAAATGCCTTTCCCCAGTCTATACAGTTTGGCTTCTCAGTAGGTTTGCGACGCCTTCCGATAATTGCTAGTATTTCGCTGTCGTCCTTAATTGCTTAGCCATTCGTTAATCCTTCGTCCTGTCGAAGTGGCGAACCTTACTTTTCATCGTTTATATATGCCTGCTTCGTATAATTACTTATACGGTGCTATGTGGTAGTGTCAGTAGTAGAGGATATATATGAAACTTCTGCGACAATACAATAGTAATATACGTATCACCGTCGTTAACCATTTACATGAACTACCCAAGTCACAGATTGCTGCATTCGTGCTGACGACTGTGCCGAAGAGTGATCCAAAGATGCTATTCTCTTCGACTTCACTCCTTCGGCGTTGAGTCAAAGTGAGAGATTGGTGGTATGATGACGTTGATGTCACACGGCGAAGCCGCAATACTAGAGCCACCCTGTGATACGATCATATCAGTGTCAATGTCGCTCCGACATTCGGTGACAGTGCTGTTCATACGGTTCAAACCGCACCGGAAAAGTTTTATCCTGTGTGTGTGAGTTTAAAGTCCAACGCCGACAACACGGCTTAGTTAGACTCGCGTCGATGCACATTGGCTCTCGAGGGATCAGTTTCAGCCTTTTAGATTGTCTACTTTCATCCTGCCAAAGTGTTTGGTCCACAGGGCGAGATAACCTCTGCCAATGTACTTCCTTTTCCTCTCGGCAGGATCCGCTTACACGACTGCGGGGGCTGTGTACGACCACGGAACACAAGCACTCGGCACAGTGTGTTGACCACAGGCATCATCTCCGAGACTCGAAGAATCCATACCCTAGCATAAGTAATCCCTCACCCGAGACTATCACTCTTAATGTCCTTATATTTAAGCTATTCTCGCGCATAGTCTGGGGCTAACGGACACTTGGTAGTCAGCACAAGAAATGCTGTAGACAACATCAGGGTGTTGTTAACGACCCATGCAGCAGAGAAATATTGATTTTTGACTCGATGATTGGCATGCCTTGATAGCTAAGCCCAGTGGGAAGAGGCGATAGATCATGCTGAATTCGCCAATTGCTTTCGCTGATTCTATGATTCTCCAGTCACCCTTCTTATATCGTGTTGAGAAAGTTACTCGCACTACTGGAACACTGTGGCGCTACGCAGCTCGTTTAGCTCAGAGGTTCACGGCAAAAGGGTCGATCCAGTCCCATTAATGGACATATACCATCGAGCTCAGATGCTCTGATGGTAAAAGCTTCGACACCAACGCAACACTGATAGGCGAAAAGAAATGCACGCTCATTGCCGGCTACGTTTGACACCCCTCTTGGACACCACAATTTTCACCGAAGTCTTGTTGGCTTCAGCGTGTGGGTTAGCCATGAGCTCTGCTGTGAATAAGATACTGAAAACGAGAGTGAACTATATGATTCAATATGCAAATCCTACCTGTGCGCCCAACCAGCATACTCCCCGAGGATCCTCCTCAGAGTGTTGTTGATCTCTTCGTGTACAGCGTTCGTCACCGTTGTTGGAGGTTTCTTGCTTCCCATGTAATGCCTGAGAATTCACACAAATCAGCGGCTCAGAATCGTTGGGAAGGACTCTTGAGCTGAAATGAAACTCACCTGTAGGCTAATCGAATGACATGTACGTCACAGGGGATGATTTGCCGACCTGCATCGAACGTGTGTAACCCACCGAAAGATTGCTGATTTCGAATGGCACATGTTAACTCACCTCGCATCGAGAACAGGGCAACACAATCAGCGACTTTTCGACCCACGCCCACGAAGGACGTGAGGAACTCCCGGCACTCTTCCTCCCGCGTGAAAGCATCCAGAGCTTGGAGCTTCCCAAGGGTGCCTTCATCATGTAGGCTATCGATCAGAGCACGGAGATAACGGGCGCGGTATCTGATACAAAAATCCCAAAATTACTTGTGCAAACATCATCGTGACGAAAGGTGAAGATAGTATAATCGTCGTCAAACGAAACGCCCTTGTGAACGACAGTGGTTCTGCTGCTCCGACCCAAAGCCCATCTTCCGGAGGTCCTCCTCCGTAGCAGTATCAAGCTGCTGCAGACTGGGAAACTGGAACAGCTCCAACACTTCGTCACCGCTAGCCGTCACCGTCGCCAAATGTGTGCCGTATTCTGGATGCCAACTCAAATGAAGTATCGCCAGGCTCCTCTTACGCTGACGAAGAGTGTTGAGCAGAAGACTTATCCGCTTCACGTTATTGTTCTGCGAAGTGATGAAGGACACCAAGCACTCGAATGGCTCTTGTTTGATCACTCTCAACCTGACAAACCACAACAAGCTCCACGACTAAGCGTTTCTCGACGAGACAAGATCCTATTGTGACCAAGGTTTCTTGCAAGAAGGCTTACTATGGCGTACCCGCGGAGATTCTTATTGCGAACGACAGTCCTGAAGATCTCATCCCTCGTTTCCCAATCTCTATAAAGTGCATCAATGTCGGTCTCCAATTGGAAGAACTGCTGAAGTTGTGCTGCCGCTTTCTGCACGTGCCCAGCCGGACAGCAGGAAAATTCAACCATCGCGAGATCAGAATTCGCTCGGAGTCGAACAGCGGTAGACCCAATAACACCATAGTAGACCTCCCCGTCGCCGCCTGACATGACACATCCATCCTGGGAACCCTCTCAAGTATTATTGGCGACATACCATCAAGCATCGGTTTCCAAACGAAGACCTGCCCGCTGAACAACGTCAAACGAAGATTCAGTTGCCGCTCCGCCACTAGGGATATCCATTCTGAAAATTTGGAGGACATGCTGGTAGCACGATGCACGTGAGAACGCAATCATACAATCCTGTCGAATTGGACCTTCCCGTTGTTGGCGGCAAGACTACGTTTGAGCGAGTCGCAGCACTCATACTCAGGTTAAGAAGACCCACGTTCGGGTACCAACAGAATTGTGAATATTTCCAGCAGGAAGACCAACCATGCAATCAGAACAGAATATTTATGTATTTGTCCCAGCACGAGATGGTTGTACGGTACAACTTGTACCATCTATGATCGTGACAGTTTCAGAGTCGTGACCCTTCCCTGGCCGCCCCCCTTTATCGAAACACAACGATTGTAGCTGATGGATCACCAGTGCCGTGGGACGTGAACGTGTAATCACCCATGGTGAGATGAAAATGGGGCGAGCAGGAGCAGACAAGCGCTTCGGTGCGCCAATAAATCTTCTACTTTACACTGATGTACCAACGTTGGCTCTCCGAACTTCATCTCGTGTCCTCTCCCTACGGTCCTTGATACTTTCAGTCGATATTCACCCTTGTGACGGGAAAGCAGCAATGAAATTGAAATCTCAGGCTACTCCATCGTACGACTAGGAAAAGGGCTCTCCTTCAGTGATTGTCTCCCCTACCTCATACCCAGCCTTTAGAAGCCAGGAGACGCTGGAGCCTCCGATAGCGCATTGGTCCCATGTCCGACACCTTCACAGTGCATTGGTCCCATGTCCGACACCTTCACAGTGCTCTGGTCCCATGCCCGACACCTTCACAGTGCTCTGGTCCCATGTCCGACACCTTCACAGTGCTCTGGTCCCATGTCCGACACCTTCACAGTGCATTGGTCCCATGTCCGACACCTTCACAGTGCTCTGGTCCCATGTCCGACACCTTCACAGTGCTCTGGTCCCATGTCCGACACCTTCACAGTGCTCTGGTCCCATGTCCGACACCTTCACAGTGCTCTGGTCCCATGTCCGACACCTTCACAGTGCTCTGGTCCCATGTCCGACACCTTCACAGTGCTCTGGTCCCGTGTCCGACACCTTCACAGTGCATTGGTCCCATGTCCGACACCTTCACAGTGCTCTGGTCTCATGTCCGACACCTTCACAGTGCTCTGGTCCCATGTCCGACACCTTCACAGTGCTCTGGTCCCATGTCCGACACCTTCACAGTGCATTGGTCCCATGTCCGACACCTTCACAGTGCTCTGGTCTCATGTCCGACACCTTCACAGTGCTCTGGTCTCATGTCCGACACATTCACAGTGCTCTGGTCCCATGTCCGACACCTTCACAGTGCATTGGGCCCATGTCCGACACCTTCACAGTGCATTGGGCCCATGTCCGACACCTTCACAGTGCATTGGGCCCATGTCCGACACCTTTACAGTGCATTGGTCCAGTGCCCGATACCCTAACAGTGAATTGAATCGACCGCCGACTCTCCAAGGATGGGCCATACTGGAGCGGCTTATAGTACCACTACTGTAATCTTCAACCGCAATGATGATAACAGCCTACCTTCAGCACCAGATATGTTATCACAACATTTTCTGCTTTCATAAATCGAATCAACTGCAGCACTTCCAAAGCACCTCCCTGTCCTTTTGTCTGGGAATTTGGACTGAATGGAGTTCGATCATCACCGAACCGTCAGCGAGCATCGCGTTGTCCCAATGGCCGTCGGCCCCAACTGACAAATGCTCGCGGCATCACTATCAGGACCAGCCATCTCAGCATCGCCACCGGGAACCCGCTCTTTCCTCTGCTCAACCTCGCCAGCGATCCCAGTATGATCCATCTGTCGATCACAGAGTGTGATGGCGAGATCACCTACCATGTTCACCGCCAACGCCATTCGGAGAGCACTGAGAAGGCGTGCTCGCAAGGACCAGTGCAAAACTTCATGCCCTTCTACTGCGAACATTCTCGAGTTCGTTCAGTTCTGCCACAACTACAGCAGACTGAGCGATACGGTAGAAGCACCAATACAGTAACAGAAGACACTTCCGATGATCAGCGTTGACAACTAACGCAACACGTTCTTCTCCGAAACAGGACCCTTCACACGGCACCGAGATTATAAGCCGCCCATAGAATTCATGGAAGGGGGGACACCTCCTCCTGCCCGAGGCGTTGCCGGCAACACCGAAGCATATCGCCTAGCTTACCCGGATCGATCCCTAGGTCGAGGAATATCACAAAGCCAACGGTGACGGGCACTCACCCATCTCCTCAAGTTTCGCAACTAAGTTGGCGAGATAGTCAATTGAATGACCCCGCTGGCCGACTCCAGTGCATATCAATCTGTTAGAATAATTCGGACCAAATCCAGATACCAAGAAAAGAATCAATTTCCCAGGCCTCGTCGGAGGGAGTGATTCCAACTAGTCCAACAATTCCCACAGAGCTACACCATCGCCGATATTGACTCTATTTCCGAGGCAAACTAGTCAAACTAGGGGTACATGTTCAAGAAGAGCCGCTCCTTGCCTAGCCTTTTCCTCGTCAGTTATCTCTCCTGTGTAATGATCACCATCCTTGTTCACGACATACGTGTAGCAAGGTATATGCCTCCCCTCTGAAACCACGACAACACCTGAAACGGTACTACTGAAATCTGAGCAGACCGTCACAGTTGGTGTCACTTTCTTTCGTATATGCGTCCAATACCATCTCTCGTCGATCTATCGTCTGGAGGGCCTCCGTAAGTTGGGCTGGGTCTAGTTCCAAGACCATACCCTCGCACACGCCCTCCGGGGATTGTTGAAGCCCTGACAGTTGACGCAGTACAACTCGGCAGACGGTGAAGTGGGATAGTATACATCCACACTGACCTCAAGCAACGAGCCCGCACGCGAACGAAGTGAATGTCGAGTAAGGTCGCGATTGCAATACTGTGGAAAGCTCATCTATGTAGGGCCGAAGTCGTATTGAAAACTCTGGAGATGAAGCTCTCATCTCATTCAAGTGTGTCAAGCGTCATTTGATTCAACTCACCGAAATGCGTAACAACCCTCGAGTTCTGATTGTCCACACGTACCGTATCGACCAGAGCCACAATAGCTATGGAGTTTGGTTCTGAGTCTTACCCATGCATAGGCCTGGCTGTTCCCGAGTCCCTCGGTATAAGAACGACTTGACGCACATATCGCGACTGTAACCATGCAGGGTGGCAGGGACGACCCTTCGGACACCGGTGATTGACGGGCCGTCCCACATAAGGGAGGCATAGGCGAAAACATGATTGATATCGGAGTGATCCATTTTGATGAGTTGACCGAACGATGTAGAGTGTGAAAAATATCCATCGGATAAATTCGCGCATAATCGTCGGCGCATGTAGTGCGCAACTCAATACTTCTTCATTGTGCGGAGGCATTTTCGCATGATCGACTTCGACATATTCGCTAACTAGCAGTCGAGTCTGAGCAGCAAATCTATCCACGACTACTCCTTCAAACGGCTCGAGCCTTCACGCATCTCGCCAAATGATGCGGCAACCCGTTCGCGCTCTACTGCCAGCTGAAAGTGGACGGTGGCCAAAGACGATAACAGTTGCGCCTCACGACTTCTTGCAGCTTGACGATTTCCCCTCTTAAGGTCGCATTCTTCTTCTCCATCTCCTCCAGTCGCCGTCGGAGGTTCTCTGCCTCGCATTGAGATTGAACCAATCCTAAACGGCCGCTATCATCGCGGCGAAAACGCTGATTCGAGCCATGCGTGATGCAACCGATAGCGGCCTTCCCCAACCCGGAGGTTACTTGTGGTCGCATCCAAGTCGCACTCCTTCTTTCGTAGTGCTTCTTTCGCAAACTCCAGTTCAGCTCGCATGTTAGCCTCTGCTCTATGAGCTCGCCCAAGCTCCTCCCTCAAACTGTCAATGACTTCCGAACTCTCATCGTTCCTCTCTACTGCTCTAATCGAGAGAACAACAACACAGTAACCAAGTGACGAGTGACGTCTCCTCGCTCAACACATTTCAGGTGCTTTCAGTGATGAGGATCTTTGAGATCCTTTGATGAGCCTATGAGCTTCCTCCAGCTCAAACAACAGCTCTTGTCTAGACTTGCTGCGAGCTCTAACACAACGGCAGCAGCCATCCCCGCAGCCCCAGACATTTCCACCATACCTAGGTGGTCCTCGATTCAACACTTGAGTTATGATGCTCTTAGCCTCCTGAATGCCGACTCGTGCTATTAAGGCCTCTATTATCAAGTCCTGAACAGAGATAGCCGGATGCAGGCTCGGATATGTTCATAAACTCCCACTTGTCGACCTATGTCTTCTTGCATCTTTTTGAATGATCGCGTGCGCTTGTGCTCATTCATCTCCAACCGCAAGCTCTTATTCTCTCTCTGAAGCTTCCCTATCGATCTCATCAGAGCACGTACCTTAACTCAATGCTCGCCGCCCTGCCACTGGCAGGCTGCCAGAAGCATTCACATGTGTTTTTTCGTAGTCCCATGACTTTCTACGATCGCGTCCACTTTCATTGCGAAGTTGTTATATTCGGCCAACGTAACTCATCACGACTATGCACGGCATGCTATAGTCGTGAATACCTTGTCATTCACAGGAGATCCTTGTTGAATACCCGCTGATGTATCCTCTGGCAAGGTCGATTCCCGAATAGCCAGTCGCGAGGGTTTCTTCTCAGTGGTATTGATAGTTGCCGTTGTCAACACGATTTTCCTCGGCATGTCCCTTACAACCGTTGGCAAACCCATCTCCCGTATTGACAACTCTGAACGACACGAGTCTTGAAGATATTTCGAACCAGAGCCATCCTCGGCATATCTTTGAAAGTTCGCACCGAATACAGGATGCATCAAACGACTGATGAACCTTTGACGAGGTACACCCACCGACATGTCGGGCACTGCCATTCTTAGGCGGCTATAACGCTCCGCGTAGAAAAGAAAAGTCTCCCCGTGTATACATATCAAAAGCACACAAAGGAGTCTCATTAGGATGGCTGCTCGCAGGAGTGAGACACCGGGTTGATGGTTGTGAGTTCTGCCACTACTACCCGCTACGAAAGACGATACGTGGCCTTCTCCGTATAGTAATAGCAATGGCCCTAGCATCATTCACAGTGGGCCAAGGAATATAGTGCTAGCAGAAGTAGTATCAAAAGCAGCAGCAACGACAACAACAGCAACAACAACAACAACGACATTATATGGGATTCGACCTCTCACGGAATCTTTGAGATAGGCAGCTTTCGGCTCCACACTTGTCACCTTTCAACCGTCGTCACTGAAGTCTCATTAAACACGAACCGGGGTAGAACAGTAGTTGTGGTGGGGCGAAGGGATGATAGCGTTAGCAATGTCTTTATCATATCCAGGAAGTCCATCCTTCATACATGCGGGACAAACTGCCCTCGTCAGTAGCCTCTGTAATCCACTGATTGACAACCTAAGATGACAACTACTAGCAATGCCCAGGGAACCCAATAACGACTTCTTACCGCCTCGCTCGACAGAAGAGCACCAGCGTTCTCGGTAGGGTTCGGAACTATCCTGGACGCAGATAGAGCGATCGAACCAGACCAAGCCATGTGCTCCCAACGGACCAAGGGCGCAGCTTGAGCTGGTGAGGCCAGGCCCGGTGGTGGAGCTGAGAATGGAGACAGAGATGTGACGAGGATCCGAATGCACTCCTCAAAGTTACAAGCTCCTGTTTCCCGAACAGATGCTCGAAGTGGCAGATCGCTATCGAAGATGCGAGACAGCACAAGGTTGTGGCAATAGGTCTTCTCGATGGAAGCGGCAGTGGAGAGTGGCGAGGAAGTCACCGGCCTAAAGATGATAACTTGGAGTACTCCGCCAATCGCCTTCCGATCAATCTCACCCAGCAACGTGCATTGCCAAGGTGGTCATCGGGTCATCAGACTCGCTCTCTTGAACTCGTCCAACGTCTGCGGCTAACTGAGGTAGTCGATCCTCCACATAGTTCGCCTGATCCGCCTGGCTTCCTTCGCTTGCCGATGCTAGAGTTCCACTAGCCGAGGCTTCCTGAAGAAGGAGACGCTCCTCTTAACCAAGACCATCACAAAACGTTCACCTGTGCAAGCTGAGTGCGCACAACCGGAGCCACTGCGGTAGCGGCAGCAGCACCATCATCCTCCTCCGAGTCGTCTTCTATATCGTCCACATCAACTTCATCATCGCTGGCAGCTGAATTCTCAGCCGCTGTACTCGGGTCCTCTCTAGAGTGCGATGGACTCCTGAAAAGACTATACAGTCAGATTCAATAGCCAGTAATGTCTGCCGTACTTAATCGTTTCTGCTTTCGTGGCTCCGTCGTTCGCTCCGTCCGCTCCTCTGGCTGTAGGGATATGAACACCCAGCCTTCCGAATAAGGCCAATACACGACCAAAGACCTCCATATCATCAGCAGCTTCACCCTCGCTGCCTAAGGCCCGACGCAATTGTACACAATCGTCAACGATAGCATGGTCGAAGTCAGCAGCGCCAACAGTAATGGCAACCTCGTTGATCGAGGCCACGAGTGAGCCATAATCCCGCTTAAGCATATCAGATGTCCCAGTCGGTAGGAGTTCCTTCGCTCGATGTAGATAAGCCTCTATTGATCGACAGGCATCCTTCACAGGCGGCGGCAAAGAGTCGTCATCAGCCGTACCAACCGACGAAATCTCCGCTCTGATTTTCCGCAACTCAGCTATGGAGTCTTCCATTTCCTTAGGAACCTATGAACAGAAGCAGAGAGTGCGACCGCACGATCGAGATATTCAGCTTACTCTCATGATAGCCCGGGCCCGCCTGGCGATCTCGCTCATCGCCCACTCTCTAGCCATCGCCTTTGCCTCAGCCGGGGAAGCTTCCGTCTCTTCCCTCACGACGCGGCCCGACTTCGGTTCAGCCCGTTGCGCTGCCGATATCGAGAAGCCGAGCGCGCCACACAATCGCGCTCGCAAGGTTGGGATTAGCACAAATCTGAGGCGAGTCAGAAATACTCCCCAACGAGCTCGCATCAGCACGCTCACCTCGAAAGAGTTTGCAAGGCATAAAGTCGGTCGATTTCAAGGGAAGGGGAAATACCAGCGCATAGTGCATTTACTCGGAACTGTAGCAGTCTGACTTCGAGCGTTAGTTGGTCGGTCTTGTCGTTGCCCACGAGAGCCAGAGTCTTGCTGGTCTCGGCCTCAGCTTCTTCGATCGCCTGCCACAGGCCACTCTCACCGACAATCGGCGCCTTCGCTACGAAGCGGTCGAGCTTCTTAGTGATGGCGGTGAGATTGTGGCGCACTCGGGTCTGATAGGACAAGAACATCACTAGCATCCACCTCGATAGTTGCTTCCAAGATGTGGATCTAGTTCGCTACGAAAACCTACCAGGATATGACTGGGGTCCTTCTTTTCACTTTCTTCTCTTGCTGCAGCACCCAATGCCTTACTTAGATTCTCTACGTCCGTGTGCAGAACAGACAGAGCCTGAGTGACCATTGCCGTCGTTACGTATACCTAGACTGGTTTTCTCGCGAGCTCACCTTGGGCGTACAAGATGGCAGCATGAGGTCATGCAGACCGCTGAGTGAAGACAGAATCTTGGAATCCTCACGACTCCAGCGAGCCGTTGACGATCCAGCCGCCACAGTTAACCTAGTCGCCAAGTCATCCGTATCTTCGACTATCCCCGTGAGAATATCACAGCTACGCTCGAACATACCCTGCAGCCGAGCACGTTGTTACATTGTCATTACGCGAACTACTGCGCTTACCTCTAGCTCGGCATCGACAATGCACTGAGTCGGATCGAAAAGAATATCGGCACTGTACTCGTCCAGGGTTGGGAAGCCGAAGTGGTCCAACTTCTCACCGTATGTTACTGGGAAGAGCAGCCTAAGAATACCACACGAGAGCTCGCAGGTGCGAAAACTCAATACCGTTGAAGAAGCAGTGTCACCGCGAGCCCAATCAACTCACCCTCCGGAGAGCCTCAGGCTGGCATCAGCAAAGAGGAGGGACTCAACACGGCCTAATGCCGACAACATCCTGTTCCAGGCCTCAGTATGTGAGGGCGGTATACGAGGCGAATTCAGCGCTGAGACCTGCAGGGCGACTGGTCAATGCCGTAGGACCACAGCGATCGTGAAGCTTTATCGATAGCAGCTGGCACTTACTTGAGACGAAACATAACCGAGCCACTGCCAGGCGTTTGGCAACTTCGCATAGAAGCAGAGTCCTGCAAGCCTCAGGCGCTCACGGTCTTCTCCAATGACCGATCGACGGACTCTGGAACGATTATTAGTGGGTAAAGTAGTCCGAGGTGGCTGCTTCGATATCCACTCTTGAATTTCCTCAGCCTCCGAGGCATTCTCTACAGCGGGTCCCTGAATCGCACCAGCATGAGCAATGACCGTCCATACGGAACTCACCACACGCAGTTTGGCTGCCGCTTCCTGTAACCTCTCAACTACTTTGCCCACGGTCTCGGCGCCAGGCTGGATGATTGCTTTCACCGCATCCTCGCCCATGCTCAATAGGTCCCCCAAGTGGACCTCCGCACCGGCCAGGCCATTTCGAAACCAACCATGCTTGTCGAAGGCTTGCAATAACAAGCAGAGACCAACGCCTCCATCGAGCATTCGACGGTGACTCAGGTCCTCGATGAGTCCTTCTACCACGACTAACTCCGAACTGGTCAGTTTGATCAGTTCTGGCCCGGCGATGGTCGACAACACTCTACTCCCGACCTCACTAGCGTGCTCCTTCAGGCTTGCCACCAGTACGGAGAGACACTTCGGCAAGCGATCCGCTGGCCTCAGTGAGACCAAGGACGGCAATAGCTGAACTGATGACCACTCGACCAACGGTAGTCTCAGAACAGTTCCCATTATACGCGGTATCAAGTACTTGAAACGCTCCTCCAGGATGTCTCCATCTACCAGCCGAGTATTTGCATTCCACCTCGACTTCGCCACCAGATCGCTCATCAGAGTGCGGAACTCTCCTGGTGTACTTTGCAACACACTACGGAGACCAGCCGTGAGCCTCATCGGAACACGCTCCGGCACCTTGAGCCGCCTACCCTTATGGAAGGAAACAGAGAAGTCTATGTGAACCACCGCACCAGTAGGCCGGTGAATGCTGATATTCTCAAGATGGCGGTCGCCCATTCCAGCGAAGACCGAGGCGGCCGAGTTGATCGCCATAGAGGCAGCGAACCGTCTATACGATGCAAAGAGCTGCTTTGCAGAGCCCGCTTGGAGTACCAGCTCGGTGCGGATGAAGCCATCACCAGTCTCACTCTGCCGACGAGCCCGCAGGGTTCTCCACACTTGCAGGAGTATCCCATGGTCCCATAGTTTGCGCGGCGTCTTCGATGGGTTGATACCGGCATTTTTCAAGGCATCATAGGTCAGTCTCCGCCACTCGAGCATATCGTGTTCTCGGAAGTTGGGCTGATGCTTAGCTATCTGGATGAGACTTGAGAGCTCGTGGACCCATCGGACCATGCCACATCGAGGGGCAAGCGGTATAGCATCGTAAGTCTTGTAGAGCTGTTCCTTATCACTGGGCTGGGCACACATGAGGGCCTCCGCATCGAGCATATCCCCGAGTGCACGTATCACTTGCATAACCAGGGCGTCGTTGCGGACATCATCAGCACCCTTGAGGAGGAAATCGAAACGCCTTCCACTGGGCGAGTCAAAGGCAACCCGTTTAGGTCGGCTCTTCGTCGTCATGCACTGCACTTTCGCAGCAACCCTATGGATGGGCACCCCCTCAAAGCTGAGGCCAGTGAGGTCCATGGAGACTAGCCCAGGCGCTAGGTCTTCAACTTGCCTTATACCCTGAGTCCCTTGAGACGTACCACGCTTAGTAAGGACTTGCACTGAATGCCTGGCACCGTTGGCCCAATCCACCACCGACTTGCACACATCAATAGCCTCGCAGCGCTCTCGGCGCATATCACGTATCTTCTTCGCGATGTGGGCCTGCAGGGCCTGAGCCCCCTTGGTATACCGTGCGTCCGGATGGCACTCATCTCCGAACACCTCGGCGATCGCCTCCTCTGTGGTGAGGTTCTGAAGCACTGCACGGAGCTTGTTGGGATCGGCACTAGAGACAGCCCATTGTGCAATTCTGGCGGCAGAATCTTCGAATGACCAACTGAGAACTCGTAGAGCGTGACCTAGAGCCCCAGCCTTCTCAACAAGCTCAGGGTTATACCTCCTCAAGGGCTCCAAAATGGCACAATCTGGCACCAGGTGCGGCGGGGGATCTGCCTTGCCAGGCGGCCCCGCTAGTGACAGGGCCAACCACACAACCCGGTTGGGCTCCTCTTTACATAACTTATCCCATACAGCTTGAGCGAACGCCTTGACCTGCGGCCTTCGGTCTCTCAAGTAGCTAACAACTTGATGCGCCAAGGGAATCCACAGAGAACAGGGTAGTTCTTGGGCAAGTTGTGGGCTCATCCCCAACGACAACAGCTTCAATAGAACGCTCGCTTTCTCGGATGCAGACCTATTCAGCTGGAACGCCTCCGTCTTGACATACTCTTCGTAGTTGCTAACACAAAGCTGATCTGCTTCGTCTTCCACTGCAGGATCCAGGGTGTGCTGGTGGAAGAGATACTCAGCAAACGTTCGTCGCGGTTCGGCAGCCGTCTCGGCGCTACCTGCAGTAGCCCAAACACGAACACCAAGGTCCAACAGCCATCGTCTGTAGTAGGTCTGGCCACTCTTCGGAGGCGCCGGGACTCCAGCACTAGCCGCAACATGTATAAGTCTCTGCAACATAATGGGATGTCGCGACAGCTCTGTCAAGACCAAGTCGCTATGAGGTATCGCGTTGAAGGCGAGAGCCGTGTTCACTGCATGGTCTATGATGCCCAGTGGGAGGGCATTCGCATCGCTGTGCAGTTTCAGAAACATCGCCAATCTTGCTGGTGTCATTTCCATAGACAACGTTGGGTCTTCGCCAATAGTCAGAGCATAGAGCTCCCTTGCTGCATCATCGCCATTCCTTCTCCGTTGTAGATCAACCTTATACAGGCCAAGATCTCCATCAGGTGGATGGATCGTCACAGGAGGCTCCTCTGACAACAACATCGCAAGAGCGTCTTGCTTCGTCCACCTCCCCACGACGGCTTCGAAGATGCCCTGCGTGCCAGGAGCGCTAGGTAGCAGGCCGATCTGGAGCATAGTAGCATACGAAGCTATCACGTCAGAGGTGGTAGCGTCTGCGAACCCGATGGGCTTCCCAGGGCCCATCTCTCGAGTCGTTGTCTGCTGCCACGTCGACAAGAGCCCGGCCGCTTTCTGCTGCTCCGGGAACATTCCGCCAGCCGTCATAGCGTCTTCGAAAGGCCAATAGGCAATTCTATCGCAAACCACCGCTGCCTTCATCCAAATGCCCAAGACCAGGTCCCTACACTCGGGATCAAAGGCCACCAGCCCCACTGACTCACAGAGACCACAAACCGACATGGGCCGATCTTCAACGTGGAACTTGATGAGACCCCTCTCGAGACCAGGCAGCAAGAACTGACCTCCCACCCTAGTATTCGCCAACTGCATAATAGCTCCGACTGTGCTCTCGCTGGGCCTGGGTTGACCCTGCAGGGCCACTGACTTCAACAGCTCAGCCAGGTCACTCCTAGTAACAATTTGAGCCCCGGAAATGCCCTCACAGACGAGACCACTCTTGACGTCAGCAAAACGGCCAGTGATATCAGGCCAAGTTCTGCACATGCAATACACCACACTGGTCCTCAGGCGAGCCAGCCAATTCTCAAGCTGATGACGATTTCGAGAGAACAGCAGGAACACGGGATTGTCCCGCTGGAACTTCTCGAATATGAGTGTCGAGTAAACCTCGAAACCATGGAGGAGACTCGCCAAGGCACCGACCTGCCACGTATTGAAATCTTCGCTGGCACCTCGGACCACGCTGGTCACCAGAGACTCTATCTCCGGCAGGGCCCTCATATCGTCCAGTTTCTGGAGCACCTTCACAAGAGCGCTATGATGCATACTAGCTCCCACCCCAGTCCGACCACTGACGCAGCTCAAGAGAAGATACGGCTCCGCCAAAGCATTAGGCCGCACTCCGCGGAATATCCATTCAACCGCTTGGGACGATATCGCTGGTACCAAAGCTGGAGGGCTAGTCGATGTGTTATGCTCAGCCAGCGCTAGAGCATCAGCCTCCATCACGTCTATGCCAAGGAGAGCTCGAGACTCCGCGTCCATCCGCCCTCTAACCAACGTAGTCTTGCCAGTGTCACCGTTGAGCTCTCTAAGTACACGAGCGCGAGTAAGGTAGACCCCGGGATCCACAAGAAGGGTAGGATCGATGTCAGCCACTGCTTGTAGGAAGACGGAGATCATCTGGCCCACCCAGGGCTGCTGCTGTTGTTGCTGCTTTTCCCTCATCCTGAGCCGCATTTGGCCGATGGCCTCAGCAAGCTCCAAGCACACGTTCATGCACGCGTGGATGCCACCAACATCACCATCAGCGGATGCAGTGTCGATCTGTTTGCAGGCCATCATGAACGCCTCGATCGAAGCTTCCAGATGCTGGGCTGAGGCTGGCTGCCACTGCTTGCTCTGCATACCCGCCAAGTGTATCCACCCATATGCAGAGAGCGGCGATATCGCCAGAAGCTGGTCCAGTTCTTGTGGGGGCGCCAACACTGCGATGAGTCGGGCAAGACGATATGACTTGCTGAAGGATTGATGGTGTCTGAAATAAGCAGTCCCACTAACGACGGCAACCATAATTCCCAAGAGCGAACTCCCGAAGTAGGCTGAATAGCTAGCCTCATAGAGAGAAACTCGCTGATCAAGAGTATAGCGTTGGTTTTGTTTTGAAAAATCACGTTTAAAATTATAGCCAGAATCGTTTTCGTGCATTTTCTGCAACGCGATCCCCTTTCACCTATAGTTCCCATTGAGTGGGTTCTTTGAGTCAAAGCCTTCCCTGTCAGCCATAGCCTTCGCCAGGTCATCGGTATACTTCACTACAAGCTCTGTCAGACTACTGCTTGACAACGATGGGCGGAGGTTATGCATTATAGTGATGACCACTTCCAGGTCCTCAGGCTGAGCCGATGCGTGCATGACCCACTCGACGAGGGTGCGGATTAGGCTGCCAGCTGAGGCCTAACCAGGAGCCATACACGAGCCGTAACCTTTCGACCTCCTCACCCCGATGGTCTTGATTCCTTTCGGGCTCAGAGAGAAAGCTTTCACTATTTTCATTGCCGTACGCACAGCCCCATTAGCCATCGAGCTTTCCTGACACGACACCATTGATGACAACTAAAGGTCAGTACTAGCCGCCCACCGATTGCATGATCGACCACACCCTCCTGTATAGGCGCTGACTGACGAAGTACATCCCAACATCATCAGCGTGAGAAGGAATTTGATGCCGCTTCCGGCACAGGTCCAAATACTGAGAGCACGCCCTCAGATCCTACAACGCTACAGGCCAGCGAGCAGTACTTGTGCAATCGCTACTGCCAAGTCCACCACAGCTACGCCTTCGCTCATGGCGAACTCCTCCCTTTTCAAGCGACAATCTATGAAGCCCCACACGGTTTCTTGCCGTTCCGAGCTGCGTTGGCGGTCCTGACAGGATCTAACGTTATGGCCACCTAGAGAAGCACCCGGCTCACCAGCGGCTGCCATAAGCTGTTGTAATAGGGACCAACGGCATCCAAGCACCACTCAGCCGCCCATGCGCATCCATGCTGGGTGTTTCCCAATGCTACCCCACAAGTGAGCAACCTCATCGCCTCATGTGGCGAGTGAATCGACGAGAAACCGAGACCGCTTTGGGCTAGCACTGGTGCCTGAGGAGAGAACGCTACTGCAGAGTTAAAGGAAACAGGGAGGTCATACGGCAGTAGCGCCGGCCTTGCCGCTCGGGCCCCTCTCATTCAGCCATTCAACGGCTGTTGTTATCGCCGCTGGATCTTGATTCTTAAAGGCCGCAATGCATGCCAGATAATGACCTTCTAAGTTCTCGTTGGTCGGCGGCACCTGAAGCCACGCACTTGGGGAAGTACTACAGCACTGAGTCAAGCGCCAAAGCGTGTGACGATAAGCGGCTATGGCGATAGAAGCGTTGAGCTCATACTGTGAATACGTGCCTCGCCAACTAGTCGAGTAAAAGTGTCCAATAGTCTACTATGATGACGAACAGCATTCCCGTCCATATCACCGCTTGAGAACGACTGCCTCCACTCAGGCTTCCTTCTGCGCCTCCTTTACTTCCTTTTCCACGACTTGTAGGACGGCCACTTGCCAGCCGCCTTCCAGACCGGCCATATGCATCGCTATAGTCTTGCCGCTGGTGAACGCTTGTCGACCCGCGGTATAGCATTCGGGGTAACAAAAACTACGCACTAAAACACTTTTTCCAGTCTAGCCTAGCTCACGACGATGATGACGATGAAACCCAGGCATTCTTATCAACTGTGAACACGACGCTCGCTGAGACCGTCAACAATTTGATAATATCCCCTGGGCTCGTAGGCCGCTCGCTACGGAGGCATTCAGCTACCCCGCCGCATTCAGTTATATACATGGAGAGAAATGGGTCAAAAACGCCCAACACTACTGTCCGCAGTGCTACTCCCACGGGGAGTGCCCAGAGGAGATCGTACACCACCACAAGCGTAACAGCAGGGGGACTCCCTGATGAAGGGCCGCTGCCGACGACGGCTAACAGGCTGGATGGACGATGCACACGAGCACCGACCACTCGAACTAGACCAGTCGTCACTGCTGGACCAGTCTAACCGGCGGGCCATCATCGAGCCACGGAACCTGTCAGAGACATCGTGAGAAGCCAAGGACGATCGATCTTCAGCTACAAACGGCAGACTATACAGACCAGCGGGCAGTACTTACTTGTCGCTCACTGTTGCAGCCGTGCTCGTCGATGCACCGCCATCTCGGTCCTCGAACATCCTCCTTTTTCGTCTCGATCGAATCCGCCTCAGCTCAGACTTCGCTTCCAACAAATCAGCCACTGTTCGCTCCTCGAACCATCTCAAGAAGGGTGCTTTCAGCAGAAGCTTGGGAGAACGGACATACCTAGAGCCAAAGCCGGATGAACGCAAAAGAAGGGATCAACACTACATGTGGTAGACCCTCCACATTTTCCATGCTACGAATATGCCCACGAGCACATCGACAGTGTAGTGGAAGTGTGTCGCTATGACCACCTGAAAGTCGGCCCGACCATGCGACTTGGCACGGCAGTAAGGCAAAACTGACCACATATCCCGCAGCAGCAAGAATAGGGCAGAGCACCTTGGGTAGGAAGTAACCCAACATCCAAGCAGCGAATGCTAAGTAGTCCCGGTTGAACCTAATGTTAAAACATTGTCAAACTCTAGCTGGACTGTGGAGCAGCGTCCCTGATCTCACCCAGTACGCCGCTTGGCATTCCACATACCAGTTGATCGTACCGTAACATAGGCACTTGGGGGCAGAAAATGGCGGCAGTACTCATTCCATATGAGGGCCATGATCGTAATGTTAGCAGCATGGCCTACCATAAGAGAGCCATGGAAGCGGATCTGCATACAGGCGCCTATTCTTACCACTGAAGAGCACATCCCCGCAGGTGGCCCGGGTGCCGCCCATTACGGCCAGAGCCTCGAAAAAAATGTTCTCGTCGTGTCTATGCTCGTTGACGCAGTGGCTATACGGATTTGGGAGTAGAGTAGCCTGACAGGAGCAGTGTTACGATAGATGTGCTGAAGCTAAGACTCTGTAAGTAACACATGATGAAAAATGTATCTACAGCCAAGTTTGAGAGGCCCTGATCGAACTAACAGTAGCAACATCGAAGCAATCGAAACCCCTTTTCGAATGAACACGCACTATACGGAGCTCGAGTACGAATAGAATATCACTGGACTTACCCCTATCGTCAAGCTCCTCAGAAGAAATACGGATCCCTGTATGGCACAGAAACGCTTCAGGACCTTGATCCTGACAAATATTCATCATTCCTCAGCCTCCTAACCTTCCAGTTAGCACCTCTGTGGATGCAGAAGCATGAATGCAATCAATGTGCTGCCGAGAATAAAAGTCTGCCACTGATCAGCCAGATCGGGCTCCTGCGCCAGAATAGCAATACGGAGCGTCTCGCGTGAGTGCTTGCCAACGATTACTTCGACATAGGGGAGAAGAGCGAACCCCGCATCGGGTAGGGGATCCCAGCGTCGATTCCCGAAGTATCGTTGTGCATACAAGCGATCGATGTAAACTTGCACCTACGACATTGAGGCACCATAAACGACCACGTACAGAGTAGACCACGCGAACGACCCCTAGGAGGACAAATTAGACCGTGTTTGCTCTGTCATACTACCATGCAGTTCCAAACGGAGCAGGAGAAGAGCCAGACTGCTGCTGCGAGGAATTGCGGGGAGAATGCCTCCCGAAGTGGAAGCAACACCCACCGCAGTAGATCGACGAAGAAACTCGACGAATGTCGACGAGATAGTACGACCATATGGATGAAAAGTAATACTGAATAGCCGCGAGATGCACGTAGAACTCAAGAAAGGCACATTTCAGCCTCACTCCCTTTTTATCCGAGTCAGCACAGCTCAGATGGATAGTACGCACTGAATGCAGGCGCGCGACCCAGGATCGAATCTCGGTGGTAGTACTTCTGAATACTATTTAGGTTGTGTGTAGGAATTATATACGGAGGCAGACTGTATGCATATTTCGAAAACCTCTTTGAAGATGTCCTCGCATTGTACTGACAGATTTGTTCCGACGCGCTCACGTTGACTTTTCTCCTGTCAAGATGCGTCGCCTTACATCTGTACGTATTTACATCCGCACGTATTAATCGTCACTCGCCATGAAAATAGAACTCTTGACAAACAGTCGGATGTAGCGCGAAATATCGTTGAGATGAAATAGTGTAGTGGGTAGGGTGCAAGGATGTCATCCTGTTAGTTTAAGATCGATTCCTTCTACCTCTGCCGTCTATTTCCGAGGACGCTACTTGTTATCTCGCGCGCCCGTAAACTTTTCAGATACGTTTTCGACTTCAGAAGGGTAAGTCACAACCCCGAATTAACTCGAGAGCAGCTTATTGAGAAGAAGATGCCAATCCAGGCACAAAAAGGAGCATCGCGACACAACTGTTCGCTCCGTCTAGCGTCTGTCTTGGGACGATATTCTTTTCACTCCATCATTGGATTTTCAGTCAACCAGTGGAGGTCGGTGAGTCTGCTACCGCCCATTGAAAAATTCTCGCTTGCGGTATTGATCGACTGTATGTCGGTATTGATCATTCAGACACATCTGTTGAGGGAGTCGATGTAGGTAGGGATAGGATCCGAGCTACTTCAGTTCCCGAGTTCAAGCCGACTGTTTTTGCTGTTGTTGGTCGTAGAAGTGAGGACCTACGGTCCAGTTGAGTCCATCCGCGCCAGCGCAACTGTGTCCCATCGTTGATGAGGGCTGCAAGAAGGAAAAACGTTTTAAAGTTTTTTGTATTTTTGTTGACTTTGTACGTTTCATCACACATAATTTGTGAAAGTGTTTCTCGGTATTACGAGCTCATTGTAGAGCAACGATGATGAAGTGCGAATTTGTTCTGGTTATTGCTGGCATATATAAGAGGTTTAGGGACAAGCCTTTGTGGTCACATTCTCCAAAACAGAACTCGAGATAGGCGTAGACTACGCCATAATCGTACTGGCAGTTACTCGAGTGCTGCAAGGAGTGCTCCTATTAGTTTCCCTCCGTTTTTTTGTGAGTTCATGCCCGTGCTTGCTTGGATTTATCCCGTCGATGAGACCTCGCCGTCGTGTACACTGTGATGGGCTTAGCCATTGGACAGTGTGTGTTATTCTCTTATTCATCATGGATGATTCCCTGGACATTTCCCTGGTGTTGTGTGAGCGTTGTAGTCTCAGTATTTTGCCTTTTTTCCAGAGCTAATTGTGTTTATTCTTACAATGGCCAAGACTCGGAACGCTCGGCAAGTGATGAGTAAAACTACGACATTTGATGGTGACAAGGCCCGAGATAGGAATCCACATGGCCGCCGACCAGTATCAACTCAGCGAACGGTCGCGACTTCAACACCGGTGAGACTGAACTGTTTTGGTGCTAATCCGTTTGTCAAGTTGTGTGTAAATTCAGGCTGGGACGACTACTACTACTGTTAGCAGGTCTTCGATAACTACGATAACTACTGAAACTCGTGATGGGGTTGTGACTTCGACTACGACTACCACAGTTATGAATTCCGAGCAGTAGAGCTCCTGACACTATTTCTTTGTAGTCTGATAGTTCACCAGTCCTAGTTTGCTAATAGCCTTTTCTAATCCGTGAGGTGTTGTGCTGGAGTTTTTGCTATGAAAGCTCGGGGAGTGATGGGGGAATACTTATGTGCATGCGTACTATTAGCTTGTGTCGGGCTGTCTCAGAGGTTTCTGCTGATGCCGGGAATGGCAGAGGCCAACTGGAGTGTTCCGCTTTCCGAGGCCGATCGGAAAGCGGAGACTACATCTCCCCAGTATTTGCACTCTACTCGGGCGTTTTGGGATTTGGACCTTGGGAAAAGCATGTCCGGACTTGGGACTCACAAGGGCAAGGTACAGATGGCTGCTGCCGGCTTAGATATTTCCACGCTAAAGATACGTGGAGCGATATTCGGTGTTCCTGTGTAGCTCAGTGATGATGTTATCGTGTGGGGTTGATGGGAGGTGTCGTTCCAGTCAGTGTTCCTGCCTTCTATCCATGTCTCCTACGCCGATCCGTACCTCGTCCGACTACACCACCACTCCTGTGTTCAAGCGGAATAGTCTTTACGTCAGTGAGGACACCGTTGACACTAGGTAGGTCTCGCGGGATGAACTATTACTATACCATGTAATACATAGCACTATTACTATGTAGAGGCATTAGCTAGAGTCTTGCGGCATCGAATGCTGCAGGTATGTGGTCGTGAGTGGCGGCTCCGTCTCGGGCTTGGGCAAGGGCACGGCTATCAGCAGCCTTGGAGTAGTACTCAAGAGCTACGGGTAGGTGCTACTGAACGGTCTAGTGGGAAACTTGGCTTTGATCAGCTACCGTGTCACCGCCATCAAGATCGATCCTTATCTGAATGTTGATGCCGGCACTATGAGCCCCTATGAACACGGCGAAGTGTAAGGCACTCTCGTCTTTGAATGGCAAGAGTTTGAACATTAGATATGTTCTTGATGACGGTGGAGAGGCCGATCTGGATCTCGGCAACTATGAGCGCTTCCTTGACATCACGTTGTCGTCTGCTCACAACATCACATCTGGGAAGATATACGAAAAAGTTATCAAGTAGGATCACTATCAATTTAATTGTTTGTTTATGGGAGTTCCTCAGGCGCGAAAGGACCGGCGACTATCTGGGTAAAACCGTTCAGATGATTCCGCACGTCACAGATGCCGTTCAAGATTGGATCCTCCAGGTCGCGGCTCAGCCGACTAGCAAGTAAGCCTTCGAGGTCATTGTTTACTCTGCATTACAAATATCTGATATCCTTATGGCCTCTATGTATCGATTACCAATGAGGAATATGATATATGGTGAACATATAATCAGAACGACGTCTTTATTTATAAGATTATGTATCCGATCTCCTGCATGCTGTCTACGGAGTTGTATGTTTGGTGTAGATCTCCTGGTGCTCCTCATATCTGCCTCATCGAGCTCGGTGGTACTGTTGGAGATATCGAAAGTGCGGTATATCTTGAAGCTCTTCAGCAGTTCCAGCATCGTAAGGACTAGGAACGCCAATGGCGGTCATTCTGTTCTCTCGCGTCTCTCAGGCGCTGGGATCGAAAACGTCTGTATGATTCATGTTGGACTTGTGCCGGTGATGGGTGTGGTCGGCGAGCAGAAAACTAAGTACTAATACCATCCCTTTGTCAAATCAGCAGCTAGTCCTTGTAGGCCTTGTCAACACTCCGTCAAGCTCCTTCGTGAGGCCGGTATCAAGCCTGACTTCCTCTTCTGTCGCTCAGAACAGCCCCTTCATGACGAGACGCGGTACGTGGCTGATGGCCTCCGATGCTCTCCACCAAACTTGTGTTGATCAGGGCTAAACTAGCGCTCTTCTGCCAGACCCCTGAGGACCATGTTATCAGTCTCCATGACGTCGCCAATGTTTATAAGGTGATTCTCAATGCGAGCTCATTGGTATCTTATGTGTGGGCAGGTTCCTCTGATGTTAGACGAACAGAATGTCGGCAAGCTGGTGTTGGAGTGTTTACATCTCGACGTCAACGGTCCCACCAGAAGCATCAAGCACGGCTTGCCTCTGTCGCCAGCCATCAATAAAACAACCGAGGATTCATCCGCTCCAGCTAACCTGACGGACTGGAGGGCGCTCGCTGAGAAGGCGGAGAAAATCAGTGAAGATGTAAGGCGTCTCCAATATGTGTGTTCTGTATTTTTTGGTGGTTTCATCAGGTTGTTATTGGCGTTGTTGGGAAGTACACTGGTCTGCAGGACTCGTATCTGTCGGTTATCAAGTCGCTGAAGCATGCCTCGATCGATGCGGGTGTCCGCCTGGTATAACTCTATGGTCCTATTGACGGTTGCTGAGGCGTGTCATTTCACAGGTCATCGAATGGATTGAGGCCTCGGACTTGGAGCCCAACCAACGTACACACGCCCCTGAGCGCTACGACTCGGCATGGAAGCGTCTGAAGGAGTGCCATGGTATCCTTTGCCCTGGTGGCTTTGGTGATCGCGGTATAGAAGGCAAGGCTCTTTGCGCTAGGTGAGGCGAGCTACAGTAGGGACCCCATTGAGTGGTGTTTGGTCGTTAGATACTGCCGTGAGACCAATACGCCATACTTTGGTATTTGCTTGGGGCTCCAGACTGCTGTAATTTCCTATTGCCGTGATGTGCTTGGCCTCGAGGATGCCAACTCGGCTGAGTTCGACCCCTCCGCTGATACTCAGTGCTGTGTGTTCATGCCCGAAGTCTCTACTACAGCTATGGGAGGTGGGATCAGGTTTCCGCGGTAGCCGAGGTCATGACTACTCTTGCGATCAAGGTACCATGAGGCTCGGATCCCGTGTCACTATAATCAAGGATCCCGATAGCCTCGCTTATAAGCTCTATGGCGGTCAGCCCGTCATCTACGAGAGACACCGTCATCGCTATGAGGTGAGGTTGCTATAGAGAGCTGCACTTGATCAGTGGTATGGACCATGCGCTCAGGTGAATCCTCAGCTTGTTCCTCAACTCGAGGCTGCTGGTATGCGTTTCGTAGGGATAGACGAGCGCGGTCAGAGGATGGAGATTGCAGAGATCCCTTCTCTCGATTTCTTCCTTTGCACCCAGTTCCACCCTGAGTTCAAGTCCAGGCCGATGCGCCCGAGGTGAATCAGATGGGTGTTTCTGGCATTGTGACTGTTCTTCCATTTCAGCCCTCCCTTCCTCGGGTTTGTTCTTGCAGCATCCGGCAAGCTGAGTTCGCGTTTGGAGGCCGACGGTGGATTTTTGAAGCCCGGTGCCGGATGGCTCGCTCATCACTGAGTATGACTATAAAGTATCGAAAGCTCTACGCTTCTACGTCAGCTTATATACTCTATTATGTAAATGTTTCCATGTTGGAGATGTACCCCAAGACTGGTGCTCTTCCTTAATTCAGTGGTATATTCTGTTGGGAGAAGAGGGATCAGTGTTGTGTGACTCGAGTAAACGGCCACTTCATGTACAGTATGAGATTCCCCCTTGGGAATGTGGCAGCGAATAAAAGGGATCCACTCGGTATTCGTTCACTATTACTACTCATAATGGACGAGAGCGAATATGCTGCTCGTGATTGTTGGCGAGCTAGACTTAACCACCTCATGAAACTTGTCATTTTGTTTGTTAGCACAATTCTGAAAATTCACCCCAGACCAGCCAGTTGTGAGACCTAAAGAGACAGAATATTTGAATTGAAGAGGGTAGAATAATTTTTCAGTTTTCAACTTAGCTCATTCCAACGACTAGCGTTCATCCTCTATTGGCGAATTTGTTTTAAAAGCAGTTTGGCGCAGTGGATAGCGTGTTGGGCTCTTAACCCAAAGGTCCCTTGATCGAAGCGAGGAGCTGCTAATTATGCACGCCCATAGGCCAACTTCACATGGGAATAAATCATATAGTAAATGAAGGTCACAATCCTGTGTTGTACACTGCTTGCTCAGAAGGTGTATCGTAACACGTTTTCTGTTTTCACTTGTTCACTGAAACTACAGCAAATGATCGCCGAATGACTTTGCGGGCAACCGCGACTCTTCGCGATCGCCCGCAAGTGAACCGACGCACTGAGAATTTTACTGGACAGAACACGCCTCATCGAACAGCGATGTGTTAGCTTTGCAGACTAAGCACGTGATGATCAGTTGTACCTCGAACTTGAAAGGAATCTATACGCTTCGAGTTGACAGTAAACTATCTCAAGATGACGAGTTACCCCAACAACTGCAGCCCCATTCCCACTTGGCGAAACCTCGAATCTATGGATGAACAACACGATACTTAGTCACAGATACGCTGGAAACCGGCTGAGAACGACTGGCAAATGAATCTGCACGAGGTAGAATCGGTGCCTGTCGTCTTCTTTCGTCAAGGGTGTGAGGGTTTGACTGATTACATTCCAGCACAGCAGTCGGATGCCTAGATTTACTCCTCCATAGCACGAGTACGGGCAACGCGAATCTTCTCGTAGACACGCTGCTTCCTCTGCTTGAGGTTGAGCTTCTTGGAGCGAGTGTAGTTGTTGCCGCTGGGAGTGACAATAGTGTTGCCCTTGCGGACGACACCAGGGTGGGCCTCCTTCTTGGGAGCGGGCATGGGGTTGGCGCGGATAGCGGCGTGGCACTTAGTGTAGGCCTCTTCCAAGTTATCAGCGTTAAGACCAGCCTTGATGTAAGCGGCGAAGTGCTTCTCGTACTCCTCGGGCTCATCCTCCAGCATCTGGTTCATGTACTCGGCGATATGGTTACCGAAGATACGGTCACGATGGACCTCAGCGTCGTACTCGCCCTCGCCCTTGCCTTCATCAGGGGCCTCGTAGCCAGGGAAACGCTTGGGGTTATGGGGGATATCGAGTCCACCATCGGCGGCACCCTTCATGGCACCGAAGACACGAGCACCGACGGTAGTACGGACGAGACCAACATCGAGAACGCACTTGAAGGGCCTCTTCTCTCCCTCGTACTCCTCATCAGCGACATAGTACTCCTCACCATCGATCTCCTTCTGGCCCTCGAAGGTAGAGTCGAGACCGAGCTTCTTGAGAGTACGACGAGCAACGAGGAGACCAGTGGCGTAGGCGGCAGAGTAGTTCTTAAGACCGACGGGGATACCGTAGTTCTTGAGCTCAGTGGACTCAGCAGCGGCAAGAACGCGATCACCAGTGATAGTGGCGTAGATGACTTGGCAGATGACCTTAGTGTTGGTGATACGGACGACAAGACGATACTTGGGAGTGTTGTACTTGTTCTTGTCCTGCTTCACCATACGGCGACGCTGGAAGTAATCAGTCTTACCCTCACGTCTTCGGCGATACTTGGTTTGATAACGCTTATGGTACGCCTTATTCTTGTAGACCTTGACAAAAGCCTGAGACAACAGAACAGCACACAAAAAATGAGTTCAATCATAATAACCACACGGACTCAAACCATTCCAACGACAATTCCAACACCGAAAATATTCCCACACAACTAGCTGCCTCAAACGTGGTTGATGAGAGCAAGGACCCCCGGAGTAAACTTCTCCGTTATGAGGCAAAACTCGCAGCAGATTTGACGACGAAATTGCACCCTCAAACGCAGCGAGCCACAAGGGTGAGCCAAAGGTAGCGAACGACCGGTGAGTCGATCCCATTGTATTACCATGCTTGAATCGACAGCGAAGATGACGAGTCTGGTGTCGGGCAAGCACGGAGGACACTGACCACCAAATCGATCACGTGATCGATAGCCAGCACATTTGCGTCGGAGCTCCTGACCACCTCTATGCCTCGGCAGGATTGCTACTGAGATCCGTCACGTCGCATGTCTGCGGTTTCCGAAAAGATTGTAAAGGCTCCCGGCCGTGCCCTCACTGAGTTGGAGCAGAATGTCGCCAGAGCTATAACTGAGATCGAGGCCAGCAGCCCCGAGATGAAGGTTCTTCTCAAGTAGTAGTCAGATATAAGGACACTTCGTTATTATGTCAACCATATTCTCCTGGGCGTTTTGTAGTATAGCATGTGTTTTTTCGATGCGTGTGAATCGTCCTCGACTGAATGCTCATTGTCAGGAACATCGTCTTCGGTTCTGCTAAGGAGATTGAGGTCAAGGCTGACAGGAAGGCCATCGTTGTCTTCTTCCCCGCCAGGGTACTACAGAAGGCCGAGTTTCGTGTTCTCGCTCCTGCTAAGATCTACACACTGGTTCAACTGGATGTTTTCAGGTGTGGAAGGCCGTCCAAAAGGTCCAGGGCCGTTTGATCCACGAGCTCGAGAAGAAGTTCCCCAAGCAGCAGGTCATGTTCGTTGCCCAGAGGACCATCCTCGACAAGGACTTCCGTCGCCGTGGCCTCAAGGTCCGCCCACGCAGCCGTACTCTCACCTCTGTCCATGAGGCCATGCTCGATGACATCGTTGGACCTGCTGAGATCACTGGCAAGAGGACTCACGTCTCCGTCGACGGCCGCAAGACCCTCAAAGTGTAATAGTTCTAGCTTTTGTGACACTGCTCTGTTTTTCTATTTCTCGTTCTCCTTCAGTATGCTTGAGCAGACTGATGCCCACCAGGAGGACAGGTTCGCCGCCTACTCCGCTGTCTACATGAAGCTCACCAACAAGCCCGCTCTCTTTATGTTCGAAGCTTAAAGAGGGTGTAGATGGCGTCGTTACGGTTACGTACCACTAGCAATCCGAGCCAAGAACATCATAAGTCGTTTTGAGTTGGTCAGTGGTTATCACAGGGGGTAGAAGCACACGTGTCGACTTGCGAACTTATTCGGTATGTCCGATTCATGGATTTCAGTCTCACAAGGAAAGTTGAGTACTTCCGATATTTTGCATGGAAGTGAGATTGTGGACGCCTCCACATACAATGTAGTTTCACCCGTGATGTGAAAAACACTAGTGGAAAGTATATATCACGACTGCTGCGTATCCGCGAATATCGCGTTTTTCACCGAGTTTGAAGTTAAACGGGTGAAACTCCAGTATTGTAGCCTACGAAAATCATTTTCCAGTAGAATCTTCAAGTTGCTCGAAAAATCCGCGACAAGTCCAATTGGTTAATTCGGTTTATTTTACACTTTGCAAGTCACCTTTTCATATGCAATTTGAAGGATTGAAAAGCGCTCGAGTTTGTCTGTCATTCGTTAGACTAACCAGAGAACCCAACACCGATTTCCTGAAAATATTCACCGCATTCCTTGGTTAAACATAGTGCAAATAATCAACTGTAGGCAGCAGTGTCACTCATGATACAGTGTGCTCAGACGCTGTTCTCAAGTATCGCACTGGCTGGGTCTATCTTACCGCTCTTCAGCAAGTTCAAGTGTTTACGTAGCTGGTCAACCGATGCTAGATTCAAACCCAACGGTGGGTCGAGTCGCCGTGCCTGGAATAGGACGAGTCCTATTCCAACATCCACTCGGAAGCCTACTGCATAGTATTCTCTAATTCTTCCAATGAGCTCTTGCTTTTTAGCAGTCTCCGTCAACTGCGTGGCCTTTTCAGAGCTGCCCAGACCCCGACCCTGGTTAGCCTGAATCAGCTCCGAGATCGTTCGCGTATTATCGGACAACACGTACCTTCATCCGTCGCTCAGCTGCTTCGGCTGCTGCCTGTCGCTTCTCCTCTGCTGACATGCCAAGTGTATCATAACCATTACCAGTTGCTTTACCTAAAGACCACCACTCAGTTTCGGCGGAGGACTATTTGGGCCTACCGGAACCCCAACTTGCTCGTTGTCCTTCGACCCGAGAATACTCTTGTGCTTGTAATTTTCTCGCATATTCGTAGTCCTGCAAGTAAACCGTCAATGCGATGTCCCAAAGAACATTTCTTTTACCGATTGACGCTTCCTCGGCTGCGTGGAATCTACGGAGTCCGTAGAGCAACAGGCTCCCATTAGATAAAATACAAAACCGCTGAGCTTCGACATGAAATTATACGACGAATCCGATTCAGCGCTCCGAAGCGCTCAAGACGGATTGGGTCACCCCGAATCTAAATGCTGGCAATCACTTGCTGAGCAATTATAGTAGAGGCCAGTCAGAACAGTCAAAGAGCGCATGAAAATGTGAACAAGCAACGCGACGTGGCAACGACATCATACAAAAGCCGCGTGGTGGACCTAACATACATAGAACAGATTGATGGAGTCGACACTAACACCAGGAGTCCGAGAGAAATGGTAGTAGCATACACTCAACCACATACCACACCTTCCGGGAATCTACGGAGGCGTGGAGTATATGCCAATGGACTACAGTGTGGCAACCCACAATGTAGTGTAGCTTCCACGAAGTCGTTCCTACTCGCCAAAGTCGTTCTGAACTCCCCACAGGTGCTATCGGCAGGTCACATATGCGTCGAGTGGCGGTACTCACAAGTAGACGCCAGCGAGCCCAGCATATGATGGAATTCGCTGTACTCGGACGGGAACCAACCAGCCCAGTAACTATACCCAGAAAATGATGCAAGGCGTACGACGAAAGCAATGGACTGTATCAGGCCGAGGCCAATGAGAGTTCCTACAAACGAACGTAACGACTGCTCGTGGGTAGTCTCGAGGAAAGCTGATATTAGCACTCAGACGGGAGTCGTTGAGAACTTGTCCTGCGTGGCCCTGTGGGATGAATGATGCAGACAGCCCAAGGACAGAGAAATGTCATCGTATAAGCAGCACTTAACCGTTCATGCCTACGAAAGCCTCAAAATTCACATCCAACCCTTGAGAGCAAGCAACTCAACTCTGTCAAGTGCAAGGGAAATAATATTCGGCAAAGCCAATATAGTATCCAATGGGAAGAAACTGTAGGGCTATTCACTCAAAAGAAACTCCCACGATTTCTCCGCTTATACGAAAAAGCAGCGGCCGTTACGGCTCTACTTCTTCGACGCTTAGGCTTGCCCTCATACTCCTCATAAGGTTCCAGCTCCGTATCTTCCACTGGCATATTCGGAGGCCTCATGTCCGACCCGAGCAAGGCGTTGGCCAGAGACACCCAATCCTCGATGAAGACGCCAACGTTGTGCAAGGCTTCATGCAGACCAACTCCTCCACCGCTAGAGAAGACCTCCACCATTTTCGTCGATGCAGTCACTTCCCGGTCCGCCGCCCACGTTCGTGAATACAAGAGTTTACTGCGAACATCCGAGAACTGTGCGAAAATTCTAATCATACCTTCCAAAGCCTCGCTCGTTGACTCACGAGCTGTCTTCACATTCTCTGCCTTGGCTACGAGCACCTCTCGAATATCCACTGCAGAGGCCAACAACTTCGAGCTCAGCTCATTCAGCAGCGGTCGTACTGGCTCCAGTAACAGCCGATCGGACGTGGAACTCATCCTCTCGTCACAGTTCTTCAAACTGTCATAAGCTACTAGTGCACTAGTGATAACGCGAGTGACGAGCCTCTGCGCGCACAGTATAGATTTTGCATGCACTTTACAGCGAGATGGATTGATACCTAGTAAGCCTAGAAATACAGTCTCTTCGTCCGCCCAAGGATTCTCCGCAATTCTCGCAGAGTTGGCTTCCAGCAACATCGTGCCCGTCTCCAACAAGTCCTTGAAACCTTCATTAGGCTTGGTACTGTCCGCATCACGCTGCACTAAGGCCTCAATCCCTGAGGCCACCACCCCAGCTACCGTCCCTATCTCATTCGCTGTACCCCGGGCCAGTCGACGACAGCAGAACGTGGGATAAGTCACCACGCAGAGCACGAGGGAGACCAACAGACCCAGCACGGTAAACAACATACGAAGAGCTGCGAGGTCTCTTCTCTTGACCTCTGACAACGTATCATCGATACCATTTGCAAAGCCTACAATAACAAAGGTGGTACACATCTGCATGCCGGCATACCCTATCTTGGGCATTTGCATTAGGAACTTGGCCGCGCTCGCAACTGTGAAAAGCTCCAGCATAAACGCATCCTTGTTGTTGGGGTGAACTGTTACAGCGATCAAAGCCAGCACGCCGCCCAAGAGGGCTCCCATGAGACGACGGAAACCCTTACCGAGAGTAGCACCGAGGGTCGGGAGAAAACACGTGATCGCTGATACAGCGATCCAGTACCCCTCGGTCTTCACAATCTCGTATTGGGTACCAATAGCGAGTATAGACAGGAGTATTATAGTGAGTGTGATACACAATCTCAGAGGAAAGGAGACCTTCTCACTAGTAGGTGTCACCGGAGGGTATAGCGGCTGACGAGCCCACGCCAATGGATGTCGCAGCCATATGGGCAACGGGATCTGACACAGGAAAAGGAGTTATAATAATGCACAACTGATAACTTCTTTACATAGCTCTCAGTAGTCCTCAAAGTCTTCCCTTCAGAACTCTTCAAGCGAGCATATTCCGCCGCGAGAATCGAGAACCGTGGAGTGGCCAACATAGCCGACTCAGCGCGAGCCATTTCTCTTGCCGATACCAAGACAGACTTCCGATCAGCAACATCCCTACTATAGTTCATCATCGTCTCCTTTATTTGTATTCGAAGGCGCTTCCCGGCCTCTTCCAACTCGTCAGGATCGTATCGCTCAGGCCCGTCGCGAAGTAGTGCAATGCTGCCCGAAACGAGATACCACATATCAGTCTGTACGGGCTCCCAGAAGTACTTCACCGCCGCCGAACTGAAGGCGTCCAACGTACAGGAGACTCTCAGGCAGTCCAGGAAGCCCGTCATTCGGAATACGCACAGCTTGAGGGCGTTATTAGTCGTACTGGACAGTACAGCGCGACGTGAATTCGACAATTTCTGAAGTTTCCGTTCGAGCTCAGCTCGGTGCCTTTCGCCGTCCAGGATAAAACATATAGAAGACTCCAGAAAACTCGTGGAGGAATGCTCATAGAGCGGCAATGGGTCAGGCTGGCTGCGGGGTAGCCAGTTGAAAGAATTGAGTATAGTCACTAGAGTTAGTGGTACAAAACCAGCAATACACCCAGCGAGCATTTCCGAGAAGATCTTCACGAAGGGCAGGGCGCCACCAAAAGTCACCACACTGTACATCCTCAGCAAGCAACTTATATACGAATACACATTAACGAACTTGGACCGTTGTCCTGTCGCCACAGCAAAGCAAACGGGCATAGCCAATAGAGTACCCCAGAAGGGATTATAAATACCACGGTTCAGGACAGTAGCGAATGATACAACAGCGCTCGCCAGGCACGCTCCTCCGCAACTTCCCATGAAGATCTTCCACGACATAGCACGAGCCGTAGGGAAGTCCAGCGAACTCGTGTTCAACGACCATACTATAGCCAACGCCTGAGAAAAGAGGTCAACACAGAACCTTCCCCAGCTTGAGCGTCTCAAGCCGGGCGAGAAAATACGAATGTGGTCAACTATGTGTGTGTTGAGAATATGAGAATCCCGAGGAAATTCCGAAATGCTTATGCTGATTTCTGTACACTGTTCGTGTGTAAACTCCTATATATAAATTGATAAATACATTCCCCAACTCAGCTGAGGATACCGAACATATATTCCAACACTGGTTTTACGTAAAGGTGACTGTTGAGGCTGTCTTCCAAGAGCGGCATGAATTGCGGTATAGCACACAGGCAGGCCACGACACCTGTATAAAGAGCGTTGAGCAGCTGATACCGTGGGAACTGGGGAATAACATAACTCGATGCGGCCCAGGACATGTCTAGTTGGGACTATAAGACATGAAAGAACTCTCTGAGGAGGGGACACCACAGCAATATCGCGCCCAAAACGCTGAAACCTAACAACTGCCGGCGTAAAAAATCCTACTCAACGTGTTCAAGGAAGAAGCATACACGCTTGATGTACGTGAAAAAATCAAAGAGAATTACACACTGGTCAAGCCAGTGACAAGGTAGATCAACAACGTGCAAAAATGACTACAGGCTACTGGCTCACATGGCCGATAGAGTTCTCCGACCAATAACCAACTTCATATCATGGATTCCTTCGGGGCGACCAGAACGACTTAGATAATTTTGTGGGAGTCCTATATCGCAGTCAAGGAGTATTCTCGCGACATCTGCCCAGTCGCGGACAAATGCCTCAAGGACGTGTATAACTATATGTAGTCCAAGCCCACCGCCGTATGCAAGAGCCTCCACCATCGCTGTCGAAGAAATGTCCTCATCTTCCGCCCTGCTTGACCACATTTGCTGGGAGAGTAGTTCCATACGAATTCCCTCGAAAGTGGCAATCAGTGCCATGGTTGCATCCACGATCTCTTGGCATGCTCGACGAGCTTCATCTATCGAAGAGGCCTCCACCACTACTCTGGACAACCGCTGCCCCGACACTTCACAAGCCTCCGCCAGCTCTGAGAGTCGCGACCGTACTGGAAGTAGAAGCACACTAGCCGCGAAACTGCTCATATGGACACCGCACGCCTTGAGCCCCTCATAAGCCGTGATGGCGCTCGTGCGCGCCCGCCCTATTGCTTCCTGGCCGGCCAGCAGTTTCCTTCCACTAACACTACCACTACAAGTCTCAATCTTCAGCATACGGAAGAATGCAACCTCTTCTCGCACTGAAGCAACTTTCCCACGTCTTTCCTCGTCTAGACTCAGTAATTTGAGTTCGGCGTCGCTCCCATTTTCCCCTCCAGCGCTGACCCTGTCATCCGGCTGCCGCAACAGTAGTTCCAATATGCCCGTCGAAACCACCGTGGATATCTCCTTCAACTCAGCTGCTGTTGCACGAGCAAGTGACCGTGAAGAAAACGATGGCCAAGCCACGACTTGGATCACCGCCGACCCGATGAGGCCAGTCAGGGTAAAAAGGAATCTTTCCGCGGCGAAAATTTCTCTCCGTGTTTGAGTCAGCGACACCGCTATGCTATCAGCGAAGCCCATGATGGCAAACGTGACTCCCATTTGCAAACCAGCATACCCAAGCTTGGCCGACCCCGTATAGAACCTTGCGGCGCACGTGACAATAAAGAGCTCTAACATCAACGCCACCACGTTACCCGGGTTCGCTTCGATGGCCAACACCGCCAATATGCCGCCAACAACAACCCCCGCAAGCCTTCTGAGGGCCTTGCTTATCGTAGGCCCCACTTCAGGGAAGGAGCATATCACAGCTACTAATACGACCCACCAACCATGCACCGCCAGAGAAGGATATTTCTGAGACAAGCCCAGCACTGGCCACAGCAGCAACTGTACAGCTAACACGAAACGGAGAGGAAACGCGAGGAACCTCCACACTGGCATCTGTGGCAACAACGGCTTCTTCCACCAAGTGCCGAAGTCCATCAGAAAAGGTGGCAACGGAACCTGACATCGACTTTGGCAGAACACAAGTCCTCGGAAATTACATAATCCCTGCGTCTAATTCTCCGTATACCTCCCGGCTTCTCTTCACAGTAGTTTGCCACTGCTTCAGCGAAGTGTGGTATCGCCACCAAAGCGGCCTCGACTCTCGAAAGCTCCCTTCCCGTCACCAACCACTGCCATCCCTCATGCTTAACCAGCCTCTTAGTATAGGAGATCAACATCTGCTTTATCCGTCTCTTCACTGCTGTACTCTCTACCCGGAGCCTCCGTGCCTCCTCCAAGCCCTTGGGAGTGCCGTCCAGGGCGCAACATGCTCTCGAACAGAGCAAGCGTAGATCCACCTGTAGTGGCTGCCACAGTTCTCGACTAATCGTTGAGTCAATTCGTCCAACCGAACACGTTGTGTTGAAGCCATCCAGCGCTGCCGTCATTCTGAACATGATCAGCTGCAAGCTTCGACTAGCTGTTGGTAGAGCCGCGCTCATCGCACCATGCATTGCCCTTTGTCGCCGAGTCAGGTCCTTCTTATGATCACCAACTTCCATTCCAAAGATAACACTGGCCTCCACAAAGTCTCGGATCGCCACCTCGAAGGCGTCAAACGGTGGCGGCCCTTTCCGTGGCAGCAGCCCCAGAGCATGCAGACCACCCGTCACCAAAACCGGTATAATGTCAGCTATGAAACCCATGACCACAGTAAAAACCATCTTCTTGAAGGGAAGGGACTCCCCTGCGAAAGTCGCGACACTGTATAGCCTAACCACGAAGCTCACCCACGATAAAGCCTCCGACATCTTTCCAACGTACATACAGGATCCCAGGAAGCAAAACGGCAACGCGAACAGACTACCCCACAGAGGGTTGTACTTCCCGCCGTTGCACGCAACGACAACGGCAGCCCCGATGACTGCGACGGTGCCACCCATAAGACTCCCCAAGTAGATCTTCCACGAATCAGTAATGGCCTTGTGATAGTCTAGCGTGCTTGCAATAGCCGCCCAAACCGTCGCGAGGGCCTGAACAACAAAAGCAAAACATAACCCCACGAAAAATGAATCATCCCGCACTACCAATAGCTGAGCCTGAAAGTGATTCTTAGTAATGGGTATGAATTGAATAGAGGACACCACGCATGTAAGAAAACCAGCGTAGAGGGCGTCTAGAAGCCGGAACCTGGTGTACTCTGGGCTGAAGCCCTCCTTAGTCATTGAGGAACAAGCCGAGCGAAAGCAAGTACTGGAGTAGAGGTCGATACCCAACCAACCCCACCGTCAATAGCACAAAACCTCACTCTTTTTCGAAGGATAGAACACACCAATACAGGACTACAAGGCGGCAACGCAACAAACACCTGGTCAAGCACGTTGAGGCAGTATAATGCTAATAAAAAGGCAGACGTACAGCTCAGGTTAACCATGGGCGATTACAGCCCTTCAAACTTCTTCTAAAGTGCAACTTCTGTTCTCGTCCTTGCTTCACAGAAATATGCAGAAATGCCACTCGCCATGAATTTTTAAATTCGATGTGTTCAACATAAATTACAAGCTTTGAAATTGGGCCCAGGGCTTACAAGTTCAAATCGCAACTTCCGACCCTTTTAAATGCAAGCTGGATGTTATAAATCATCCCGGAGCTCTACAAAACTTAATACTACTCTCTCACTCCCAGGAGAGCTCCTCATCACCAAAGTTCATTCGAAATTGGGGTTGGCTGGATTTAAATGCCCGGCATAAGTGAAGTTATCTGAGGTTTATGCAGGTGTGAGTGAACCATGTCTCAACGAAACATAAGGAGTTGATCGGTGTGGGAAAATATGCACATGGTCAACTACATGTGTAGGTGACATTTGCGGAAATTCTGAGGAAAATTTGAGGAAATCATCACTGGTTTCTGTACACTTACACCCGACTTCGTATGTAAATTTCTGAAATTACAGTCCGCCGAGGGAAGCAAACAGATATTCCAACACTGGAGTTGATACTACCGTAATTCTAACTCCACAACCTCCAGGCCTGAGAAAGCCAGCCCTCATACGCTAATGAGGAGTTTCCGAATCGGAATGGCGGAACTTTGGTCGAACATAAAAGGGAAATTGATCCAATGAGAAAATCGAGAAACCTGGCACTGGCTCAATCGCCCTCAGTGAACACAACAGCGGCAATGACAATCTCTCAAAATTACACGTGAAACCAAATCAGGCGTCTCTGATGGGAACAAAGACGTCGCAAAAAATCAAGGGAGGCGTTACGAAAAATTCCCAATGCCTTCTCCTACACAACCCACGCCATCCACAGACCCCACAAGCCCCCCGTCGACCCCGCGCAGGGAAGACTCGATGTCCCGCCAGTCCTCTATGAATAAAGACAGAGTATAGATAGCATGGTAGAAGCGAATACCACCAGAGCTGAGGACGTTAGCCATCAGGTCTGAGTTGCCATCCAGCGGTACAGTAATAAGCTTCTCCCTCAGCCTCACAAAAGCGTCGTATGTCTGTTGCATCTGGACTCCAGGGTCTCGCATGTGTGCTGAAGTCCTCAGTCCCTCTGGCATGAGGTTACTCGTGTCCACTATGAACAATACCACTCTCGAAACAGAATCCTTCAGGGCCATCACTATGCCCGACAGAAGGCCTTTCAAGGGCTCCAGTAACTCTTCGGCAGCTGGTTCCTCAATCAGAGCGGCGCAGTCAGTCATCGCAACATGAGCCACAATAGCGCTTCTACCCAGCCGGTCCACATCCCCTTGCACGTCCAACACTCGTAATGTGGAGAGCCCCACCGCTCTGATTTTCTTCAGCACAGTTGCCTCCGCCCTGGCATCCGACTCCGAGGCATGTCGTTCGGCACTAGAAAGGTAAAGGACATCCCCAAGCTCCTCCTGGCCCGAGCCATCCACTGGCTGGTGAGTTCCTATCAGATGCTCCAGCGCAGTGGTGACCAAGTTGACTTGCGAGACCAATTCCCACGCTGTCAAACGCTCCATTCGAGAAGTCGAAAACGTTGGGAAAACAATCCACGACATCACTGTGGCCCCTGCAACTCCTGTGCTAGTGAGGGCCATCCGCCACAGAGCCGACTTCAGCACCGACTGGAACGGTTCATCACCATCGAAGGTCGCTGGCATGATTGCAATTATCGTCCACGTGAAGCTGAACACTAAACCAGCATAGCCAATTTTAGGCTTGAAACTGGCTAGCTTACCAACGAACGTTATAACGAAAAGTTCGATAAAGAACGCCTCCTTATTATGCGGATGAATAGCAACACATGCAATGGCGATACCAGACGCCAGTATAGTTCCCACCAGCCGCCGACTGCCCTTAACCAGAGATGCTCCAGCAGTAGGGACCAGGCAAAACATAACAGGTAAGACGCCCCAAAGGGCATGGGGGGCCATAGAGGGCACTGCCTTAGCCCAGGCGATGATGAGTACACATGCTACGGTGAGAGAGAGGCCAAGACGAACTGGGAACGCCAGCCGAGATGATATTTTACCGCTAAAAGGTCCTCTAGAAAACCACGGACTGCGAAGCCAGTTCTTCCAATACTTCGAGACACGCTTCAAGTACTCCACAACGCTACTCATCCCCTAAGACGAAAACATGCCACTTCTGACCGCGCGCCACAAAATTAGTCTCCTACCATAATTCCACGACATCTGTCCATTTCTTCTTCCTTTTCCCGCTGTATATCATGAAAGTCCTGCACCAGCACGGCAAACCTGGTCATAGCTGAGCATGCATACTGAAAGCGCACCACATCCTCTGCAGGCACTATCCTCGACCGCCCCGACACTTGCATACGACTATACTCCAATGACTTCTCCAAAAGCAATGCCTCCAGCTTCGCCGCACTCTCCTTCAAGTGAGGTCCCTCCATCTCCTTGGGGTCTCGATTCCTCGCTCTAGTCAACGTTCTCAGCCAGAATACTACTTGCAACCGCAACTCAATAATGTCCGACAACAATGCATTCCACATAATCTCCACAATGGCGTCGCTGTATAGGCCTTCCCGTATAGTTTTCCGCATAGCAAAGAGCTCAGCAGCCATACGATAAATGACTGCTCGCATGTGGGCGCCCATGTCCACAACACTCAATGCTTCTCTCCACACCTTCTCAAATTCAAGTCGCTCCTTATCGAGCCACTCAGCCTGGCTCTCCCCTGTCATTGCTAAGCTGGACAGCATCTCAAAGAAGTTGGCAGCGCGAATCGCGAATGCTGGCAGGGCCGGGGCTGTCGCTCCAGGGGTCTCCCAAGCAGCGTTAACGAACAGTGTGAGGATCCACGGTACCAATGAACCCGCAGCAAAACTCAGAAAAATTACAAGTGCTCGGATGAACAAATCGCCGGGGCCGAATGCAACGACTACATATGCGGTCACCAGCGCCACGTCGTAGCGGTAGACGCTCGCAAGCTTACAGCCAGTCGAAGGCTCGCTGAGGGCCACGAGCATAGCAAATGGTATCATAACTACTACACCCACGTACTGTACCAAATCGGCCGAGACTATGGCACGAACAAAGGAGCCGACCCCAATACCCACGACGACTCCGATGACAGCAGCCGCGATGCTCTTGAAGCACCACGTGGCGGTAGTCCGTACATCTAGATGAGTAATGATGCCGGCCCAGACGGGAGCTAATACCTACAACACAAAGGCCGCGCAGGAATGATGCTTCTCAACGAGAGTCCTATACAAGATCTTACTGATAGCCCTGAAAGGGATCCTATTGGCAGTAGGACCGCATAAAAGCAGGCACAAGCTGCTAAACCGGCTAGCACTGCTGAATAGAAATCATACGATAATATGGAGGATGGTGACGGGGTGGACACCATCCATATACAGAAAGGATAGAAACTGCATAGTTGATGACAATACTCACTGGCTGCCAATTCGCTGAGAATAACCAGCAAAGGCATGGTCTGAGCCCTTGGGCATCCACACCTTCGAGTAAACCAGCCTCAAGATCCAACTTACCCTACAATCCTGTAATTTCCTCAGCGAGGCATAATTACTCACACAATTTCGATGGTCGTGGCCATCAGCGAAAGGAAGTCAGTGACCACGACCTCAACTAGGGCACGCTTATAATAATATATTTCATACAGCAACAGGCGTTACATACTTCGCATTACATTACAACGTTTCTCACAGTATATGTTTGTAGCAATGTTTACACTGTATGTGCGAAGTATCAGAGCGATTATCATTAATTTCAAAAAAAAACGCGCATTTATCGCATTTGCATATCAAATTGGCACGCACTGTAGATTACTATCCGAGACATTATACTTTTAGCTCCACAGCCTACGACACAACGAGTATATCAGCGGCGATAGTGTCCCGTGTGAGACGCACCCCAATAGTATCTTCCCTCATTGATCGAGTACTGCCATAAGTAGATGTTGGGAAGAGAGCATATAAAGATGAGCTGATAGATGCGATAGCAAGAGCGGTCAATTCGATGATGAAATTCGTCACAGTAATGCTGATAGCCCTACATAGTCTCACCTGAGGTGGTCAACAAACTGACATAGTATGTGGACTCGCTAGATGGAGGGTTAGAGCGTATCCACCCAAGTGCAGCAATCATACTTCCCGGGGTTGAGGGGGGGAACACATATACGCCGGGTCAGCTTGACTCAAGCCGCTCGACTGACTTGCATCGATGCCATTGCATGGTTTTTGAATCAAACGGGTTGATATGTCCGTATATATACTCGCTACTTGAGTGCTTGTGCTGTTACTTTCACTACTCAGTTGCCATGCAGCTGCTAAGTTCGCATACGAACTCACGAGTAGTGGGAGTCTTGACCATTGAAGATTAACAATTACTCTGAAACAAGTAGCCTCATTTCATGCATGACATAGTCAACGTCATGGATCCAACGGAGCCTGACCCTAGTTCGACAACAACACGGCTGAGAATCTCAGATATGGATAGGTGTCTCAGCCTGAGACACCTAACCATAAATCAGAGTCCATCATCAACTTCATCGTAAGTCGCGTACTTTCCGTATCTGCACTCTGTGTGAAGTGTGGGTTAGTCTGCCGCTTTGCCCCCATTCCTAAGAGCCGCGCTGATCAGTATCCACACGATAGCGGGCAGAGGGGTAGAGGAATGGGAAGATCTCAAGATTGTTCTCAGGTCGTCGGTTCAAACCAAACACATTACATTATTCAGGACCTTTTTCGTTCGATCTTGCGCTCTAGCTCCGCTGCTTCCCTAATACTGGGACTACTCCCTATTATTACTCATCATAGCCTTATGACGAATCCTCAGTGACGAGAAGCTGCTTGCCTTTAGTCCAGCACCGTAGAGCTTGCATTGATCACTCCCCAATAAGGAGTCCTTTCAAGACTATGTCCCTTGAGAGGGAATGCAGTTCTATTCGGGTTGCTTTGTATATAAAACTGGTCGTAGTCACTGTGTCAAGACCCTCCTCCTACACAGCACCGATGGTGCATGTCCTTGGCACAGTGGAGAGTGCTAGTGGGATCCATCTAGACTGGCGCAAGCCCTTGCAAGGCGACAGCTCATAGTGCACTTGCTCTACCTAATTGCAACTAGGCTTGGTTTAGCTAGCGAATGCACTGTGCGGGTAGTTGGCTTTTCAAACAACAATTTTGAGCATCCTGGACCTCCTATGCTGCAGGAATACTCGAGGCCCCAATTGTAAAGCACTTATCATCTACAGAACGGTCCATAGGAGTGTTTGATGAGGGAAATGGTATTATAGTATCCCAACTCTGTTGTATGATGTGTTCATCTCCTCCTTCCCATACCGACCAGCGAGTCTGCACTTCACCCTCTGATAGAGCAACGAGGTTGGAGGACATAGTGCAGAGGATGCCTGGCACTCTGAGGGGAGTCGAGCCAGCTGCCGACTATGTGACGGGCCGACTAGTCCAGCTGAAGCCTTTGATTACCACCAGTAAGCAGGGGTCTATGAATAGCTGAAGCTCCTCGGTGGTGTCAGGCAGAATGCTATGGTCGGCAGCACACATCACTGAGGATATCTCTCCAGCTGAGGAGCTCTCGAGCTGTTGTTCATCGTCATCATCGTCCTCCTGCTCCTCCTGCTCCTCGGAAGACAGTGATGACTCTTCGTACAACGGCCAACAGTCCAAGAGGTACCGTTTGTGGGATCCTCGACGAGAGTCTATGAGACTATCTAGTTATTAGGGACTCACTCGAGGGCGGTAAGGTCTCGTGTAGTACTTCCTCTTGTGAGGACCACGTTGTTAGTGTTAGCAGAGCCAGGAGGCCCCCACCGAAGTAATACACAAGTCAATCCTGGCTGTGGCTGAGTGTGGCTGGTATCGTCAGGCGTGTACGTGTGATAGAAGGTCTTCCTCCATTTTCTCTCAAGGGCTACCGACTGAGACTGTCCCACCAGCGTCTCGGAGCGCTCGTCAATGGTCATGCCTTCAACCGATTTGACTCTACTTGTAGAATATTCAGATCCCCGAAAAGTCACAGAGACTTTATCGTTTTACCAGTAGTACAACAGTGTTCCGTTTACTCCGTATACTCGGTATCGTAGGAGTTCCTCTCTGCATCGGAGATAGCGCTTGTCGTCGGCGCTGCTACTCATGCTTCTGTTGAGAAGATAGAGGACCGTAAAGCTAACCTTGAGTACAAGCATATAGCCTATCGGGTCGAGGTCCAAATGAGGTACTCAGTTCTTGATGGTGGTTCCCATAAAGTAGTGCTTCCTCAGGCTATTGCAGCCCGGCCTGTACTTGAAGATTTTGGCGGCGAGTAAATACGCGTCTGATCAGCTCTGGGGTGTTTTGGATGAGTACGAGCACTCCTATCCAGAGATGGAGTACATAGTCTATGACACGAGCATAGGAGACGGCACGATAGAAAAGCATGTGGACAACTACTCTCTGGTGACTCTTGTGTGCATGTTGTCTACTCCTGGCACTGACTTCACTGGTGGTCTCAACTGTTTCAAGTGTTCTAAGGAGGAAAGGTATGAAGTGCCACTGGGTAGAGGGGACATGGTCCTTTTCCGAGGGGAGAGGTTACAGCATTGGATCACGCCAGTTACCAAGGGCCGACGCTGTATCCTACAGAATGAGCTTTCTCGTATATGATGCATGGTTCGCCCGGGTGTGGTATTGGCATTTTTATTAGAAGTTTCTGAAATTAGTTGTTGTCGTGTATGGGGTGCTGGGGGAACGGTAGGGCTTCGTTGTTAGCGTTGGAATATGAATTCGCCTCTCTCAGCTGGGTTCTAGAGCTTCCTCACTAATTATAGGAGTTCACTTACAAATTCGGGTAGAAGTGCTCAAAAACCAATGAGAAATTCCCTACATTTCATATTGTCGGCAACACATGTAGTTGACCATGTGCACATTTTCGCACACTGTTTGTTGTAGGAGTTGGTTCATCAGACGCTCTCTCCTTAAATGAGGTATAAGGTCTTCCACAAGCTGGATGTCCTTGCCTATGTAGAGAGCGTTCATGTCGGGTAGTCCACGGCCTCTATCACAGAGCGTTGAGTATGTGCCTAAAGGTACAACCCTGGTAGGGCTCGGACGGAGACGGCTAGACGGCTGATCATGCATATGCAGAGTGACAAGATAAAGAGGAAGTTCCCTCAGCTGAAGGTAGTCATTCGAGGCCCTCTTCTGTGAATAGATGATGATCAGACTTCGTATGAGCTTTATGGCTATGATACGCCAGCGAGGGCCCATTTCAAGATGCAAGATGGTATGGACTACGAGTTCCCTATCGAACAGTACACGTTAGATGAAGTCCAAGCAGAGATCCATAAGTCCCAGTTTAAATGTAGTTCACTCTGTGATGGTATGTGCTTTGCTACTTGTTTCATTGTAGCGATGTTGGCGCATATGAAGGTTCGAAGTTTGGAGCGGTTAGTTGATGAAGACTGAGAGCCTCTCTCTTAGTGTGTTCCTTGCATGTTTCCGAGGACCAGGATTGTTGTTTTATACAGGGTGATGGCCACTTTGTCGTTGCTGCAGAGTCTTGCCGCTAATGAGTTTTCAAGATGTGCTACCGCCGTTAGTTCCCGCCGCCCCAGTCGTTATTGAAGATCTTGCTACTGCTGTCAACAACATCACAGAGTATGCCGTATTAGGTGTATCCACGGAGAAGGAAGCTCATGGAGAACCCAACACGACTTCACCACCTAACAACGATGAAGTTGTGAAGGGTGGCTCAGCTGAAAGTGTAGCCAGTGTGTTCGGGCAGTGGACTAATTGCCGTCGGTGCCACAAGCTTACTGTGGCTGGGGGAGGTACGACTTGCTGTGCTCGCGTCTAGCTAGAATTGTGTGCTTCCGTTGTGTTGTGGAGGAGCATGTGTTGTCTCCTTTTGTAGCCTTCTGCGCCTATTGTGGAATACCCAGTCCCAATGGAGTTAGAAGGAGGAGGAGAAGCTCGGCTTCACAGACGAGTCCCTCTGGTATTTCCGGGATCAGGCTTTTCTCACTTTAATTGATCCGGCTTAGGTCCTCTCAAGGCGTCTGGTTTGCGTCTTGTGATAACGACTGGTAGAGATGGCTCTAACCTGTTCATGAAACAGCGTGAGCCCGGTGTCGTGGTTTCAAGTTCATTGCCGACTGCGATGCTGCCTGAGGATCCAACGCCGCTCTGTCTGCCCCCAACCTTTGCCAGCTTGAAGGCCCACGACGGCGAAACTAGTGGGGGCCTCGGTCGTGCATGCGGCAGAGGTCATCGTGAAGAAGAGGAAGTGTCATTACGGGATGAACAGGATGGTGATAACGATGATGATATCAGCGACGATGAGTGTCTCTCGGAGCTCTCGGACGAATCGGATTGTTCATCAGATAGCAGTGACTCGTCTTGCGAGTCTGACTGTTTTGATGATGAAGATGATGATGACTTTGATGATGAGGATATCATTATAGAGCTGGGGGACACCACACATAACACTGGGGAGGAAGGTCCTAGGTTATTCACTTCTGTGGGTCATGGTGACTCTTGGGGTGACAGAGTGGGGGTTGCCTCCTTCCTTGGTGACGCGGTTGTATCAGCTGCTAGTTTAGGGCAGGTCATGTAGCTTGCTCTATGAGGATTCGTATCGTCTGTCTCTACTGCTATGCCTAATTGATAAGGATGAATAACGCCTTAGGGGTATGTAGTGGTATTATCCCTTTGCTACTTGTGTGTCTGTTGGTGATGATAGGAGTAAGCGTTGGTTACTAGGGTTATGTCGTTTACTTTGGACAAAGGTCCTGTACATAGCCTCATAATGTGAAGACACTTGCTCGTAGTTTATTGTTGGGGCCGAGGCAGAACATGTGATGCAAAGAATATTCTTTTTTCTGCTCGTGCTGAAACTGATTAGTAATAGGGAACTATATAGGTTGTTTGCTATACCACACTTACTGTCCTTCTTCTTCTACTTATTATTCCTTTCGATTGTGATAGCCGCTGCCCGCGAGCAGAGATCATTATTCCTTAATTGCTTCGTGGGAGTTTCTATTGATACTACCATTATCACTGTGTTGTCTATACGCTTTCGTCGAGAACGAGGCTTGCGCTTGTACATGACGCTAAGAGCGGAGAGCGAGTTCAGGTCATGGCTACTACTGACGGTGCTGCTACTGCTGCTATTGCTTTATGAGATTGCATTTATTCGTTGTAATATGGTTCGGTGTAGTGTTGGACTATATCTCAACTCTGATTTACTTGGCAGTAATGGCCAGCTATCTGTATCGCACTCTCGTGGCTATGTCTGCACTGTAGTAATCTCCCTCTTCTTCAAAGAGGTTGCTGTTGAGTTGCAAGTTATATGGGGCTATTAGAGATTGTGGAGTAAACCGTTGGAGGCTTGCTATGACCGCTCCATGGGGTGAGAGAGAGCTACCTGTGGAGCAAGAAGGCTCGAATGTGCTCGTGCAGTCTGCAAAGACTGGCGTATGGCAGTACCTGCGTAACTGGTGGGTCATGTGGTCGCTACAGGCGGGGGATCGATCTCGTGGAGAGACTCCAATCGGGATGCGTACTTTAGCACGGTGAGTAAGGAGTAGAAACATCTAAAAACCTCTGGTATTCTCTCCGCAGAGTTCCGAGTGAATTCCGAAAGCACATTGGGGAGATTAGTGATGCTGGAATAGAGAGGATGGCAGAGACGAGAGCAAAAACCAATAGGGCCGCTAGTTATATTCAGAAGCATTTCAGGTAGTGTGTATGAGAACGCTTCCTGACGACTCTGTAGACACTGCCCTAGCAAACGCTCATTAGGAGAATTATGTTACATCATTGCCGCGGCACAACTATGCCTCTTAGAGGGTTACCAAGAACTCAATTTCGCAGGTTACGTTTCTATCGATTCGATCGAGAACTGCTCATGGAACGGCTGGAATTGGAAAGGTGTTTCCACACGATCGGAGGAAGGTAGAATCAACTTGCAACGGGTGGTCACGGATTACGTCGAGAAACAACAAGAAATGTTCTCAAATCATTAAATGTAAAAGAGCCTTCTGCCGGAGTTGAACCGACGACCTCCCGCTTACTAAGCGGGTGCTCTACCAACTAAGCTAAGAAGGCCGAAATATGTATTTCATCCCGTGATGTGCACCGATTCTTCAGGTTCATCATCTTCATGTCGCTCTTTATCCTGGTTTTCATCTTCGCTTCGGCCGGACTACAGTTGGGGCCTCACAGGTTCATCCGGTTATCGATCCACGAGCACTTGAGTGAGAGTAGGACAACTACTGCATAATTAGAACTTGCTGACAGATCCAGAGGAGCGAAGCGCTGCCAGCTCAGTGTCTCAAATCAGAGAATCTTTGACTCATCTATCTCGGTTGTTCCGCAAGTTCCAACCATTCGCCGCTATCCCCGCTGGGAAGGCACTGGGATATGGTTCGTCCGTCTTGGTTCCGACCGCTGGTGACGGCGTCACTATCCTCGCGACCTTTGATGAGAGGACGGAGATTCCAACCGTTGAGGCATCGACCCTATGGGTCGCTTGTGCCTCCTACTCTCAGTACTGGGCCTTGAAGTGTTTGATTCCAGGGGTAACGTTTCTATGCGACATACTCCCGGCAAAGAACTCAACGCGGGGAGTAACATAGTCGTGAGTATCGACACCGAGCTGGCCCATTTTCGGATGGGAGATTCACCGGTGAATACGTGGCCTATCACGACAGATTTGATGAGCTGCTTCGTTGGGCACCTGAACTTGACGTCAGCCAGCAACGGGAGCTCGAAGGTATTTCCAGGACGAACAGAGCCATCCGAGATGGATAGTCTCATGAAGTACGGTCTCCCTTTCGAGGACTTCATCAGCGGACGGGATCTAGATGGAACCGATGCAAGGACCCATCACAAGGGCATATGCTTGCTGGGACCGCCCCTTCTGACACAACATGCCACTTTCCCAACGCGACAGTACTGCGACGGGATTACTGGAGAGATCCTCGACTTGATCGAGGATCAGCAGCTTAGCAAACTCAACGACAACAACTCGTAGGTCGGTACGGGAGTCTTTCTTCGCCACGTGCCTCATCGTAGTAGTGTAAACACTATACAGTGTAACAAAGCGTTATCAGTTGTCTCAGTTACCCGGGCCTCTCCTTCCTCTGTCGCTCGGGCGATGTCCAGGGTGAGGGCATGTGGACGCGCAAGTGATGAATGGTATTGAGTTCAGGTGTGAACGTTTTAGGGTATCTCCGGGAGATAGAACTTGACCCACATATTGTCGACATCGCTAGTACTGATATCAGGCTACTTGCTCCTTTCTACAGTCAGCCTGTGAGACTCCTACGTCAGCCTAGAAGGTAGAGCATGTTTAACAGGACCCGTCGCTTGACGAGGGGTCGCTCGGTCTCTTCCTTGTGGAGTGGCATGAAGTTTCAGCACCAGGGAAGTGGCAGCTGTATACGCTCAAGAGGATCACCACAGACCAGTGGGACTCACGAAGGAGAGGATTCCGTTTAGCCTATCAATCCTTCAGGATGGCAGGCTGGGTTACTAGCGTCGTCCTGGCTTACGTTACATGTATCTACCTGTTGGCCATCGACTTTGCCTCGTTGATCCGGAAGACCGGATCGGGCGGGTTCACAAAGGCCGCAGTGAAGGAGCTCTACTACGAGTTTGATGTCATTGTATCTATCTTTGTCATGATCACGTTAACCTTGTGTGTAAGACCTGCATCCTGCATCGCTTCCCTCTCTCCCCTCTCATCCATGCATAGAAGTCTCCGCCAGAACACGCGGTCGATAGCATGCGTGGCTTCTACGTTCTCCTTTACGGTACGTGAACCATTCGACGGAATGGGGAAAGAATGAGAATATAAAATGAACTACAAACCCCTCGCCGAAGCAACAAACCCTGCGACATCATCTATATTCTGTTGTCTAGATTTCATACTGGGTTATAATACCAAGCGTTTTCGATTCAACCTTGGATGGGCTCCTCGATATACCATGGGGCAATGGAACCTCCGTGGAAGAGAGCAACTTTGCGGAGCTCCAACGAATGACAGATCGAGTCGGTCTTGTTACTCGCACAGACCTGCTGCCCATTGGCTTCCTCAGATTATCCACTACCATCGACTACGAGAGTGGCTCGAGTTCGCTGTACAGATCTGCCTCTACTCAATCCTCACCCGAATGATCGCCAGCATGAGTGCCCACCCTCGAGTTGCTCTCTTCACAAATACTCTCCGCTCCGCCCAAAGCGAGATAGTTAATTTCTCCCTCTCCTTCGCTGTAGGACTTCGGGGGACCATGCTCGCTTCAAGACAATACCTTAGGTACTTTACTTTGGTTTGGGACTTATCGCCTGGCTCAGTTTCGGAGGCATCATGGATGAGTTCTCAACCTATTCCGCCACCCTCTGGACGCAGTTCTATATACTGTCCAGCGGTCAATGGTTCGACTCCTGGGAGAATGACTGGTGAATCATCAATCGCTATAGTCAGTTCTTATCCATTGGATCGTCTGGCAGGAGCATCTTCCTCTACATCGTAGTGTATGTGGTCCTCGTGTACTTCTGCGTTTTGCAGCTGTTCCTCGCTATCATGGTCGAGACGTATTTAGTGGTGACTGTCGCTTGTATCACCCTAGATTTCCATGGTTATTTCCCGGAAGGTTCGGAATGCTGTGGAGAATCATCAGACGGCCCAGTCCATCGTCATGGAGACTATAGACTACTACGCGTCGAGGGTTCTGTGGTCCCTGTGGGGACTACCGCGCAGAGGCGTCCTCATTGAAGCACTCAAAGCCATGAGTGCGAAGAAGACTGTCGACTTGCGTAAGACCCTTGTCGTTTCTCTCGCCTATCGGTGATTGCAAAAATCTACCCAATTCCAAGTTTCACCTGTTGTTATATGTAGTCGCGGCCTTGCAGTGGATTTGGTTTCGCATGTGCCATTCTCATCGCTCCAATAGATGACCGTGCAGTAGCTGACTGAATTTCTTCATTCAGGTGTTATGCTGAGGTCGAGTATGTTCTCTGATCTAGAATCAGCCACCCGATTCTGTCAATTCTACCGTCGTTATGATTTCCTCAAACCCCGGGGAATAGTCGCTAATGGATCGGATAAATGGGAAGGCATCGTCGACGAACTGGACGAGCAAGTAGGCTCGTATGTCGGCTCAGTGAATTCCAAGGGGCCCTGCTTATCAGGTCAATCGTGCAGCAGATCATAACAAGCGGATTGCCATTCATCAGGCGAATGTGGTGGACCGGTTGGACCAGATAGAGTCGACTTTACAAAATGCTGTATCGACACTCGAGGCAGTTCTTGGGGTTAGATGTAGGTCTGTCACTGCTCCGATAGCGGCGCTCCTAATACTATTGTTGACAGTCACCAATTTCGTCCCACCTAAGCGGCCAGTGCCGCAATCTAATAGTAAGCATGACCCTCCTTTCCTGTGCGAGTGATTCCTATCCGATTCTTCAAGATAAGAGTCACACGGTGGAGGCCTTGACGCCAAGAACGCTAGGGCATCGTTATGTGAGAGCTCGGCGTCGACGAAGAATGCTACGAACGGCTTGTGAAGGCCGCAAGTGAGAGCTCATGCTTTGTCTGGTTGTCCATGTCTTCCTAGGAGGCGAGAGCATCTACTCGAGTCGCATCAAAAGTATATCGCGCATTGCTCTGTGAACTCCCACACGGCAGACGATATACTGGCTAAGGAGCAATCTTCGCGGCGAGTCAGACTCGCCTCCATCAGGGACCCCGAAGCAACTCAACTTCGGTGGAGAATGTCGCAAAGAAGAGCATCTCCGACAAGACCAGCATGATTCCGATGTTAATCATTTATACTCCCAGCAGTGAAGTGATGAGTTCAGATAGTTCAGGAATAATCACCAGATGTGTTCGCTCAATCAGCATAACGAGTACCACATGCTATTGTCATGCATTGAGATGGGAGACACGCGTATGGCTAACGGAAGCCTGAGTCTTGATTCGGCAATGTTCGTATTAGCATGATTGTGGGGGATCCTTGTCTTACTCATCTGATACCAAACACTAATTTCAGCCCTGGAGCAGGGATAACTCTCAGCCGAAGAGTTAGTGTATGGGAAGGTGTGTGCAGCTCGCAAAACTCCACACTGTGGATAAAAATCTAAGAGCCTTCCCTTATCTCAATGTACAATTCGCCAAGACATACTCTGTCCTTGTTCTGGATCTGCATGAACAGTGTCGACATTCAGAAGGAATGGGGTCCACCATCTCTGTATGCGCTGCGGCTAATGTTCATACTATATCAGCAATGCTTAGGAAAAAGCTCGCAGTTTCTAATATCTTTCTATACTAAAGAACAGCAGTTTATTGGTTAGATAGTGCCACGCGCAGAGATAATAGAATTGCTTCTAACCACTCATAGAACTTCGTCCCCATATCCCAACTGATCAACTAGACAATCACTTGTAAGATGAAGAATCAAACAATGCGGAACTACGCCCTACCTCTTCATGCAATTGCATCAAGAGAGTTCCTTGAGCGCAAATCCTATTCATGTAAACAATCATTTGATTGGCAATCGTCTAGCTAGAGACGGTAGTAGCAGTAGCAGGCTGAGCAGACTGTGTATCGCTCACCACACGAACCGTTCTGATAACCTGAGGTTGTCCAGAATAGCCAGGGATGCCACCATAGTTGGCAGGATAGGATGAGAAGTTACCAGTGTAAGAACCAGGGTATGACGAGATGTTACCAACTGTGGAATAGTTAGTGGTAACACCGCCGTCAGCATTCGCATAGATAGGTTGAGGCATGAGAGCAGAGATAGTACTGTACTGTGCAGGAGGGACATAAGAACCGGTAACAGTGGTCTGTTGAGGCAGCGAGGGCATCGTCATCTGAGCCTTGGCCTCGCGGTCAGCCTGTTCCTTCTGGAGCTTAGCAATACGATCACTCATCTCCTTCTGAAGCTTCTGTTGCTGAGCCTGCATGCAGAGCTGACTCGCAGTAGACTCAATCTGCATGCGCTGTTCCTGAGCCCTCTGCTCGATCTCCATGCGACGTTGCTGATGCTGTTGGTCAAGGGCGAACAGAGCTTGCTGGCGAGATTGCTCCACGGCGCCGACCGCAGTCTGGAGGTCGAAGTTGGCACGGAGGGAGATCTGCTGCTTGGCCTGTTCGTAGTCACTCTTGCAGGTCTGCACGGCCATGTTCAGCTGGCTGTCGAGCATCGAGAGGCTCTGAGTCTTCTGGTGCTTGATGCTCTCAGGATCCATGGACCTAACAATAAACGATGAGCAATAACAAGGGAGAAACACCATCTTACACTTGAGGTTGGAACTCGGGGGGTACATAAGATGCACCCTGAGGTTGAACCACGTTGTACATAGGTTGCTGGTAGGCAGAGGTGGTAGTTTGCTGAACAGTGGTAGCGGCAGGGGCTTCAGAGCTCATTGGTGTGGATGTAAGGCTTTGAGGAAGACGATGATTGAGGTCGCGAACAGCTGTTCGCCCCAGCCGTTTCATTTCTGCGCTGGAAAACGCGCGCGCCTTATACTTGCACATGCAAGAAGCGAAAAATTGTAATCGTGGTGGGAGAGTGTCGAACCCCCGATCTACCTGATCACGAACCCACTAAAGGCAAGGGAATACTGTGAATGTCAGCTAGGGAAGCTATACATGTTCACCTCTTCGTTTCAGAGCTGTTATGGCTGAGGCAAGCACACCGTATTAATAGTCATATGCTATTCGTCTAATATAAGTTGTGCTTGCCAACATGAGTTGTGCCAAGTTCAGTATGCCTAAATGGGCTGATCAGAAGCGTCAAGCTTCCTTCAAAAGCGGCGTTGAGCAATTTCGAACTTTCCCACATGTCTACTAAATTTTGATGCACCCTTCATACGTATCAGGCCACTTCGGGCCAACTTATGGGCCACAATTACTACGTCACGATCAACACATAAGACTCCTCGCAATGCGAAGTATCTTATGCGATGCGAAGTTCGAATGATAGAGCACTACTACACGACCAGCTTTTCCAGAAAACTCAAAACTACTTTGTTTGAACGAGACTTATGCATAACTCAGGTCACAACTCCATGAGCTTCTCTTTCAACATGTTCATCAACTCGTTAGAACCGGCGTGCTCAGGGAACTTGTCCAAAGATGCATTGAGGTTATTCAGACATGCCCGTACGTTGCCTTCATCATAGTAAGTCAAGCTGGCATTGTACGAGGGTTCGTGGAGACTACCATCGGCACCCATAGAGCTGAGCACAATACGTAGAAAAACACGAATGTCAATTAGTGATATTGTAACAGAAGCAACCTTGCCTGTGGAAAAGACTTTTTGCCGATTCAACATTGCCTTTCCTCAGCTCGAGGACCCCGAGATTGTTAAGGCTCTCCGCATGACTGCTATCGTAGGACACTGACACCTTGAAGGCTTGGTAAGCGAAATCCAGATCGCCAACACCAATTCCTATCTGAGTCACAAAGCCTTCGACCGTCAGTCTCTCGAGCATGCTGGTACATGGCCGATGTTGTACCAGACATCTCCTAGAGTCTTATCATCAGCGAACATCAAAGCTCTCTCCATGCATGTGAGGCAAAGGTCGTAGTGTTGGCCGTAGAAGCAGCAAAGGCCTGATCGTCGGCTCCAAGACTCGTTCTTCTCACTGGACTCTACCGAGATTGTTCCAAAGCTCAGGACTCGCGAGCACGCCAAGCTGCAATAGTCTCCTATAATATCGCAGAGCAACTTCTGGCTGGTCGTTGTAGAAGTGATGAGCCGCCAATGACGCTATGGCCTCGCAATTGACCGGATCGAGATGCAATACCCTGATATGCTAACACTATCCTCACAGGCCGGCTCAGAGGGACTCTTTATACTCTTTGTAAACCTCAATGCTAGCCGGCTCATCTCCAATAGCAGCCGCCACTCGAGCAATGCCCAGTCTAACACTGGGGTCTCCAGGATATTGAAGTGATGACTTCTTGTAAGCGTCAATAGCCGCCAGGGGCTGAATGAGATTGCTGCGCGACAAAACGGCCGACTGCTGATTGGCATCGTCTCGAGCAATCACAACCGAAAATGGCCAATTCATAAGGCTGGTCAGAACCATCCGCTGATCGAATTCTGCGCATTCCTTGCAAGACCTGATCAAGCTTGAGGTAGACTCTAGCAAGCTCCATTGATGTGAGTATCCCATCACTGGCCTTGAGTGCAGACAGTAACTGCTTCTCAGCGTCGCGGAGTAAGCCAAGATGGAAGTAGCACTTGCCCAATCTGGCCTGAAACGACTTGGAGCCTCAACAAACAGACAGTCGTAACTGAGACTCGCCCAGTGTTGGAATATTTGTTCGCTCTAGTCAGCTGGGCTCGGCAGTTTTCTCACTGATTATGGGAGTTTCTATACTAATTAGGATAGTAGTGTACAGAAATCAAGAACAATTTCATAAAATTTCGTCACAATTTTCACATAGTCATCAACACGTGTAAAAAATATTTTTCCGCACTGCTCTCGCTACTTTCACTATATTGCTCTATCGAGGACTCACCTTCCACCACCAATCCTCATAGTCACAATGCTTGGTAGCTTCACTGGCCAACTCTGCCGCCTTCCTAACACCATCAGAGATCCCCTCAAACAGCAAGTATGAGTGAGGGAAGCTACCCCACATCGCGCAGTACAAAGACGAGGTAGTCCATCAACGCTTTCGCTAGACCTCGGTTATGGACGAACCTGCATTCGAGAATGTCTCTGCACCGACTACGCTGTTGCCTCTACTTCTGGAAGTTAATTGCCGAGGCTACGATGAACTCCCCCTCAGGATCGCTTTGTAAGGATGCGGTACCAATCCGCACCTAAGATGATGTCCATGTCCCACAGGAGTCTCACTGCTGTCCTACCAAGCGCCCAAGGCTCGTCGTGGGACGGCCCATGGAGGAAGTCATGGGCCTACCACCGACGCCTCTATTGAGCTGCTGCAGAGCCGTGGTCAGTTGGTCTCGACCCGTAGCTGATTGTGGAACTCGGCCGCCTACATGAACGTTGATCGTCAATTGTTGAACTCCATAGTTACTGTTAGTTCCAGGCCTCGCAAAGCCAGTTATTGGTCTGCCACTGGCGCTGGTCGGGCGAAGCTTCCCAGTAGCCCTGCCCGACGCTCTCATCAGGCTCGTACCCGGTCTGCATCGGCTTGCTGTAGAAAAGAAGAGCTTGTCGAACCCACCGCGGTGCTGAATTAATGACGTTATCCTCCATGAGCAGATCCCCGAGAGGGTCCTCATCGCACTCCAGGTCGTCTATGAAGTTCTTCATCGTCAGCGCTCGGCACTTGAGGAACCATGCCGACTCGTCCCTACAAAGATTCACCAGGATAGATCCCCTGTCTGGATTGCAGCTCGTCGTGTATGAGAAGCGGCTGATGGCCTCAGATGGTCACTGCACTCACCTCGGGTTCTTTTTCAAAAGGTCGCTGCATATGTCAATGGCCTCTTGCCACCTTCGACGACGAAATTTGCTCATGGCCTACCCAATATGGTCCCAACCGTCCAGAGGGGTGGTATGTACCAGAAAGAAGGGATTCACCGACGTGTGGTACTCAAGAGGGATATCACCAGCTGCTTTACCCCTGCTCACAACTGCAGCCATTTTCCAGGAAACAGGATGGACTACGACGACGGTACAGCGCTTCCCTGACCGCAACTGGTCTCAGAGTGCGAGGATCCGCCTTCCCGCAGAGTCAGCATTGACAACTCAACAGCTTGACTAGGCCACGAAGGAAATAAGGAACGAAACAGTCATTTGCTCAATCACTATAGTTACGGCCACAGGCACCAATGAACACCTCCATTTTAGTGTTGACTTCCGGGATGATGGAAATTTGAGCACCAGCGCGAATAGCAACCTGAAAATCACAAGTCCGATGATTTCCCAAAGCCGTCGCGAAAAAGCCTACCACTTCCCCTTGTGATACAGGCATGCCATTGATAGTTCCTTCACCACTGATTATGATACCCATCGACATGCACTGCTTCGAAGGGACCAACTGCCCTTCACCAGCCGCATCAACCTAACATCATCAGCACAATGCCCGATCGGGTCTACCTTAATCCAGGGCCCACCTTGACAACCTCGAAGTCATCAATATCATCAGGCGCGTAAGTCCTAGCCTCACACTTAGCGCCACACTCCATCTCACTGGGCTTCAAGATGCTCGCCGGTCGACTTTCAAAGACAAGCGACTCCAGTAAAACCTAAGCCACGAGCTCGTGCTCCCCACTGAACATAATGGCAGCAGCACCAAAGCCCTACCTCAACATCCTTGTACTTGGGAGTGAGACCACCTCGGATAACGTTGTCACTGCAGGCCATACACTCCATGATATCCCCCGAGACATAGGCATGCGGTGTGTTGGCCTTCAGGTAGAGGCATTGTCCAGGGGCCTGAACACAACAACAAGCCATCAGCAGTGGAGTTTCACGACAGCTTGGAGTAAGATACACTGGTGCTAGTCTGACTAAGGCGGTTTGCGATAGACTTCAAACGCACACACACAAGACATAAAGCTCACCATATGGACAATATTGAGGAAGAACACCGAGAGGACTCCAACATCTCCACCAGGGAACTGACGGTCCAGCTCAATAGCCAGGGAGTGGGCCTCATCACCAGCAGCAGGTGTGCGTGACACCAAAGCCGCGATCGTTTTGGTCACAGCTTCACCTGACAATAGTATAATACACACCTTCGATATCGGCATTTTTCATCATCACCATCGGCCCTCATCAAAGTAGAATAAGCTCTCTTCAACGCCCCCTGCACATTCCCCTCGAGCTGTCTGCATATATCAGCACCCAACAGGCTTCCCAACTCGGGGAACTTCTTGCAGAAATCAGCTATCTCCGACACTGGCCTGAGGAGCTACCTTGTCGGGCGGTCAGAATAGAAATGAGGCCCACCTGAAACCGCACATGCCCACGAAGTTTGTCAGAGCAATGGCGATTTCCGGCTTGTGGTTTGGATCCTTGTACAAATCAGGCCGCTCACGATGCAGCCTCTGGGCCAACGCTTTGTCCGGATGAGATTGAATCGACAAGGCAAGTCGAATAGACAAAACCTAAAGAGAATGCAGATCAGGGGTGGTGGGAACTGGTGGCGACCACTAACCTTGAATAGATAAGGCAACTGCTTTACACTGCCAAGGAATTCCCTGCCTTCCTCCGTGGCGAACCAGGCATGTATAGTCTCTCCACCTTGTGCCATATGGCATACACCATTGGGATGATCTCCCATCCACAGCTCGGCATAAGGCTTGCTCTCATCAATCTTGAAGGAGCCTGTGTGATCTAAACCCAACAGCATGGCAGTGGACCGAACTAAACGCCCGAGTCATGCCCCCTTACCTCCCTCTTTGGCCAGAAGTGCTACTTTACTCGCTGAGCCGACCTTCCCCCAGGCATAGTTCTGTATGGCAGGCTCTACAATACGAAGTGTGGACGATGACGACTGGACACTCATTGAAGGTAATGAATACTTGACAAGTTCACATCGGAACAACACCGTCAAGAACCCGGGATTCTACCCTTCCTCCTACAGCACGACTGGGGCTATTTGAATGGTTCACGGATTAATTTGATACTTTACCCGATTTTTCAATAATTTACTAATTTTCCCCCCAAAATGCTCCTTTTTCATCATTTCGCCTCATGGTTTCCATGAATTGCCCAATATTTCAAAATTGGCTAAACTTGGGCAAATTAATAAAAATTCGGAAAACACTAAAATAACCTGGAAATGCTGCGAATAAAATAAGTCTTATTCAAACCGGATCCTCATCCCAAAGTAGACACATCCAACACAACACCCTACACCCCAAGAAACGTGCATCCCAGAAACATACAAAAGCATGCATTCAAGCTTCTATACAGTGCACAGGCCCCTCTCTCGATGCAAGCCTATCCATACTTGCAGGGATGCCCAATGCCACCCTCGAGCCCTCGTCTTCAGGGAGGTATACCTTAAGGCCGTCCTCCTGTGCTTGGGCTTCCAACAGGCTGTACCGACCAGCTGAAACAAGACCAGTGTGGGAAAATGTGCCAACCACATGTGTTGGTGATAATATGAAAATCCTGAGGAAATTTGAGGAGGCTTGTGTACACTTCTACCCGAACTCTTATAATTAGTGAGGAAATTCCTGAGCCTAGCTGAGGGAAGTGAACATAAATTCTAACACTGAGAACAAGACTTATATTAGATGTATATTTAACAGAAAAAGACAAAAATAAGAATATAATGGATCAGAATATATATGTTTCACCCGTTTTACGCGAAGTGGAATGTGAAATGTGTTTTTCACTAGTGTTTTTCACATCACGGGTGAAACTCCAATAATGCTAAACTTAATAATAAAACCTATCGATATTGGGATAACACCATATTAAGGTATATGGATTTATCACTAATACATATCTATATATTACTATTTCTACAACTGTATATTAGTTATCGATTATCTACTACATTTATCGCATAATACGAAGCCCACTGTACACAAGCGGGCTGATCACGACCAATGCCTTCGCGAAGAACCCAAATATCAATCACCATAAATTCAACTACGACCATTTCCTCGTCCCTCTCTATTACCAGCGTAAAACTCCTCAGTAATCTGCTGTACTTCCTCAGCCGAAGGGGCTATGAGCCGATGAATGGGAACTTGCCTTTCACGGAAACTAGGCACCAATGCGTTCGGATACAACTGTGTCCTGATCTCGTCCTGGAGGATCGATAAGGTACCACTCACTGTAGCACCAGTACTACCACGAGCCGTTTGATACCAAGACCAAAGCGGGCGCTGGTGCCGATGACGACCACCTCAGGGAAGCGCGCACGCAGACGGAAGTACAGCGAGTCCAAGTGGAACAGGGAATCCCTGAACATATCACCATCATCACCCAAACCACAATAGGGAAACTGTCAATTGAAGACCAGAAAGAAATTATTAAATCAACACTTCCGACTCTACTTCTACAAAGTATATAATTTCTCAGCACTTCCAAATAGACACATTACACAATCGTTCTGCCCCGCTGATATTACTTGTGCAGCATGTCACACATGGTAGCGCACACAATCCATTTCCTGTGCTCATTCCATGTTTTATCGTGCTTCATAACCTCATTGTATACAACCTCGAAGTCCTCCAGAGGGTCTTCCGACGTACCCACTACATCTGGACCTGACACGCCCTCCGACTAACCCCACAAACGGCATTTAAAATTCAAGATTGCACATACTCCTTACACCCGCACAGTTGCCAACACCCAGACCAGTATCAAAATATATGTTCGATTTTCTCAGCTGAGCTCAGAAGTTTCCTCGTTAGCCACATACAAAACCCAGTAGTAGTACACAAAAACCAATAAAAAATTCCAAAAAATTTCCTCACAATTTTCCCCTTATCACCAATACCCCCAGCTGACCACGTTTAAATTTTCCCGCACTGTGGCAGACTCACCCTTGCCCATCTTAATAACATACACAAGAAGCCTAGCTCGGTACATGTGTCGAAGAACTCGCAGTCCCCGAAGCCTATCCTCAGCCGCTCCCTCGCTGATGCCTGGCAAGTCCGTTATCTTAATGTTCACACCATCTCGGAACCGTATGACCTAAGACTACCTCACGCCCACAATCGTCGGAAGTGTGGTAAAAATTGCACGTGGTCAACCACATGTGTTGGTGACAATATGAAATTAAGTACGAGAAAATTCTGGGCGATTCTTGTAGATTTCTGCGGACTTCTAAACCAGTTCGTATATATACCGCTGAAACTAGTAAGGAAACTCCTGAGCTCAGCTGAGGGAAGCTAACGTTTATTTCAGCACTGACCGTCAGAAATATATTACCCCAGTATGAGGTCGGATCGTCGAGTACTCCTCAGGGCCTATTCTGGTCATCATCCGGCACACTGATGAGGCGATGGAGCTCTTGCCACTATTGGGCTTTCCCAACTACCACAAACTATGACTACTGCAACTGTAAATTCACTATTGCCTTCTACCAATGCAACATCAGTGAGCACTCTCAGTTCCAGCTCGAGTTTCTTGCCTTCGCCGGGTGCTCCCATACGCCCATCATGCTTCTTAAAACTGCTATACCCCACTCCTGAGCTCACCACGTTTCCATACCATGCCTCGAATGCCAGCGACAGTACCGCCTTTGCCTCCTCTGCATATCCTTATCATCTCCTTATCAGCGAGGAATTGGTACAAGAACCTACCACCGAATCAGCGCAGTCAGGCTATAGACTCCTACCGTGACCTATGGACACTACGATTCGCATCGGACTTGTGACCGGTTTTTATTCGTTCCCTAACGATCGTTCCCGGAGGCACATATATCGTGCAATCATCACCGTGAATACCTTCCATAGGAGAACATCACAGAATCGAGATGAGCACCATCTATATAAGAGCCATGAACAGTGTTGGAATATATGTTTACTATCCTCAGCTGAGCTCAGACGTCTCTTCACTAATTATACAAGAGTACATACGACTTCGGGTAGAAATGCACAGAAACCATCAAAAATTTCCCAGAAATTCCTCAGATTTTTCATATTGTCAACAACACATGTTGTTGACAATGTACATATTTTCCCACGAAAGCGCCGAGTTACCTCTGCCGTATGGATTCACCTCTCCCCCATTGCCACCGTTCTTGGCATGCACCTACACCCCACTAGAGATCCCCCCACCGTGCTCCTCCTACCTCTTGCTTCACACTGAGGAGGCTGTCTATCTGGTCAGTGCAGCGTATGAACACGTGCCCACCGTGACCACCGTACCCTGGGCCTTTGAAACCATAGGTCCTACGGCAAATGCAAATATACGTACAATCAACACCCCTAAAGTTTCATGATAAAGTGTCGCTTGCTACATTAGCCGTATATTTCAATTTAAAATTATTTCTATACTTATATAATGGAGTTTCACCCGTTTCACGCGAAGTGAAAAGTCCGATATTCGCGATATGCAGTAGTCGGCAAATGATGAGTTTTTCACTAGTGTTTTTCATAACACGGGTGAAACTCCAAATAATAAACTAGGAGCTATATATAATTACGATACATACGATAAAAATATACCTTTAATGATATCCCCTTCAACATTATCTATAAATATTTAATAGTAATGTTATATATAATTACATCAGGTTACCTAGTTATCAGGTTATATACTCTTATAACATGTTCAATTGAATTCAAACTGTTAATTAACGAGTTACACGCTACATCTGAGCGTATCACTCATCAGTATCAATCGTATACGAGTACTCCTTATCACGAAGCAGCATACTGACAGCAGAGTTACGTTCAAGTTATAACATATGATATATATTACTAGTAAGATGATTAAATATCTATCTCTTAGCTCGTAAGCAACAGTAGCTAGAGTAGACCGACGGGACTCTCCTAAGAATGACCCCCTGCATAGCCCATCACCTCTTAGTTTTAGGTTTGGGGTCGCCTCCCCGTCCAGCTCTCACATTAACCCACATCCGATCTATAAAGGGCACATTGTGCCTAAGAGGACCCCATGCCCAATAGCAACAACACCACCGACCTCGGGAAGGATTCCATATCAGATCTCTCTGTGACGGTCTCCAACACCCCATCGCCCGCCCCATCCAGCGAAGAGGGAGCCGATGACAGGTCCCATGTGTTACCTATCTATACCTCTCAGAAATCTATTCGGCGCTTAACACCACCAATCGAGCAGATAAAAATATCGTATTCACGTCTAGGGACTTCAATTCACCGTCCACCTCCAATAGACTCTCACCTGCATCCATAGTGAAGACCTCCCCAGTGTGGGACACTGGTCGCTCCACGAACTCCGGTTCATAAGCAGTATCGTCCGCAGCATACAACTCCGCCATATTCACCACATCTTCTTTCCCAGCGCCGCCCACCGTACAGAATCTCTGCCGCCGTCGCCATGCACTTGATGTTAGCGTCCGGGCCAGACCCCTCAACCGAATCATCAACTAACCGCCGCCCTCACATACTACGGAACGCAAGCCTTCCAATGGAAACACGATAGCTCACGAGACAGGCCGCATGGTAAGACGAGGAACATGCCATGTCCCCTCCCGACGCAGCCTCGTCCGACGCTTCTGTCTCCATCTCACTGTGGCCTCATCCTCCATGACTCTCCCCTCCAACCAGGACCTATATGAGGAGGAGATAGCCCAGTGTTGAGATATATGTTCGCTCTCCTCAGCTGAGCTCAAGAGTATCTCCAGTAATCACAAGAGTTTGCGCACGGATTATGGTACGAGTGTTCAAAAAAACTATAAAATTTTCCCAAATTTTCCTCGAGATAAGTCGTTGACCATATGCATATTTTCCTACACTGTGATGGTCACAACAGAATGCCGTTCACTCACCGTGCGAACTCTGACCTCATCGAAGGGTCCAGGTAACCCAAGTCCCTAGTAGATACTTCAGCCGTCCGATACTTCACTCGTCTCCCCGAGCTAGCCTTGGACGCCGCGTCCATGTCCAGCTTCCACATACATGACCCCAACAGTATCAGCGCAACGGTCGTCATTATAACTCCTAGTGTAAAATACAGCTCCGCTCCGCCCGAGCCCACGCCCAGCGGTAGTAGTGGGCACATAACCCTATACTGTCCATCTTCCTCACAGAGCTTCACATACACTGGCCTCAGAGGAAACGACTGATCAACCGTATCGAAAAAATCATTCGCATACAACAGGGAGTTCGTGTCCACCAGCAGCGCTCCCAAAAGACCATACAAGCCCAAGGGCGAGCGCTCTTCCTCATCATAGTGCAGCTCCACCGACCTCGTCGAGCCGACCGGCTTCAACACCACGCTCACGATGATACGGTCAGCCTCCACAGTAGTGGAGTTCCTTGAAATCTGCACCATATGAAACCTGCTAGGGTCCGTGTCTAGGATGCCTGCCAACTCGTACGTAAAACGATAGTCGAAGTAGTCCCGGACCGGATCGTCTCGAGACAGATTGACAAGGCCCTTGCTATCAGCACCCGGGTACCTCATTCGTAGCGATACCATAACCGCCTGACTCTCCTCTTCCAACGAAGTGATAGGCTCCATCAACTGTCCCACCGGTCGGCATTGGCCAGCGATAGGGACGGTAGTAGTTGGACAGTGCTTCAAGCAAGCTCCTTGGAGCATGACGCTCGGTGGGTCGCATCTAGGCCGTACCACAATACGCCCAACATCAAACACCTCTTCGAAGTGAATGATGCAAATCCGAAAATACCCCGTCTCTATTGCCCGAACATTGGCAAAACTGAGCTGAGTCCTCGCCTCGTTCACGCTGGGAGCCTCTGGGATCAACCATGCCTATCAAAAAAATGCAATGGGCGAGCGCTTCGGCTATTACAGCGTAAGAACGGCTCAGAGGATCCACCTCAATGCGAGGAAGTATGCACATGGTCAACCACATGTGTCGGTAACAATATAAAACTTCTGAGGAAATTTACACTTCTACCCCGTATATAAACTCCCGAGCTCAGCTGTGTTGGGCGTATATATATTCCAACACCGATCGACCTCCCCCCAGCGGCACACCTACCAGGGACATCCGTGCCTCCACATCAGCAGTGCATTCATCATTCTCATCGATAACCACAATCCGATCACTTTCATATAAGTTGAAACCAGAGACGGTCAGGTCAGCAGGTTCCTCATGCAGCCGTGGACACAGACACCGAGCCAGCTCCCTCTCACTGCATGGGTCTGTTACCCAAGGCGTGCACACGGGCTCTCTTACACACTGTCTACTCGCGCTGGTACTAAACTCCGCTTCGCTCATCAAATGGTACCTCAATAGAGCCGCTCAAGAGTCCACCACGACAGCAGGGAGGCTTCACCTTATGCCCCTCTCGAATTGGTACACACAGTACTGCTGTTCATCGTAGGGACCATCCCCCACCAATGGAGATTCCATCACTGGCTCCTCCAATATGTTGCCCACTGACCGTATCGTCAATCTGGGGTCGTTTTTGTACAGGCTTCGAGGTAGGAGGAAACCCTGACTCTCTTCAATCTGGAAATTCAACTCGGTGAACTCCGAGACAACCTTCCCAGGTGCGATGGGCAGAGTGAGTTCCATAGCATCTTGGTCCCACAGCGCAGTGGTTTCCTCCACCAGATGGGCATCCCTTCCCGTGAGATGGATACTTCTGGCCGCACGATCGATGTTCCAGAACTCCGACAACTTGATGATTATGGGGTTGCCCATATTGATGGCGACAGTCGGGACCAGCGTCATGGTCATCCGGAACGTCCGTAATGCCTCTCTTGGCTCGTATCTGACGTCGCCCAGTGGTGACACTTAATGGTGACACACGAACGAAGCATTCACGATAGTTTAATGCATTAAATAAACGAGACAAGCAGGTCTCTCACTCGGCAGTCACCCCCGTCCTTGTGATAACTCACATGAATTTAGAAACCTCAAAGGTTCGCGGGACCACCATTGGACTATGCTTGATCTTCTCAGGGAATATAATCTGTCCCCTCGCCACCTCTACCCTCAGCCTACCATCATTCTCTGACATCATCGGGGGTAGCCTGTCACACCAACCTCAGCATCCCTGCCTCCCCCCCCCCCCCCCCCCCTAGCCCACCGGAATGCAGCAACGTCCGCACCAAGTCGGACCACAGTAGAAGCATCGCTAGGGACACTCTGGCCGGGCGAGACCTCCAAGTCCAGCACCTCCAATGTAGCGTTCCAGCTACCTACAGTCAACCACACTTTAATAGATACAAGTATGTGAGACATTCACAACCCACTCACCATAGTAGGAGCTCCCATCAGTAGTCATAAAGCGCTTATAGCCAGGGTCAAGACGGTTGGTAGAGGGAGGACTACTCGAAGGGTCATAGAGGCTACCACTGTTGCTACTACTACTACTACCTCAACTGAGGCCTTGCAGTCGGGCATTGGAAACCTGGTAGATGTAGACGCACCACTGAGCCTTGCAGGAGCACGACGTTCGGTCGTAGTGTAATAAGGATGGTGGACACAGTGCTAGGGTACGCTACTTCGCCCTCTCCATATCTAATCCAGGCTGACATGCACTCCACGTCCTCCCATGTGCTACTCCAACTGACTGATGATGAACGTCTTAACCACACTATTGACTCGAGTGGTGTAGTTGAATGCCTGTGTGCCAGCAGAGGGGATACCAGCCTCGGGGATGTACCTTTCTATACACATCAGTGCTATTCTGACTATTCTCGGCGTTGGACTTCAAACACATACAACGCTACCACCCACAGCGATGGACTACATATAGAGACTAGGGTCAGTCTGATACATCGCATACGGCAAGACAAAGCCCTGATCCTGCTCGACTAGAAAGCGAATCCGACGGCCAGCTTGGATCTGCGAGCTTCTGCATAGCCAGAGAGCTCCTATCTGGTTTGCCTACCATGAGCGCCTCCACCACGACAGTGAGGAGCTGCTCGCCATTCTCCCATAGGCCCCGCGAGCCCTCAAACAACGGTGCATTGACCCCACTGAGATCGATATACCCGCTAGGATCTCCCTCATTGAGGCTGGCCTGAGGACTTTACCCTCAAAAAAGC